GATGCAATTTAAGGAACATCCGTTTTATTAATGGGCAGCAGTGAGTGATGTCCAAAAGATGAGGGTTGTTCAATGGGAGAATGATCCAGATTCAAGTGTAAACTCATTCATATGGACAACTTCCGGACAGTAAGAAACGTGTGATTTCGGTGCCATGCTGGCGACTGATAGGGCTTAACTGATTGATGGCTGATAGAGACGGTACTACTTTCAAAGGACTCGAGAACGCATTTATTTCAATCTGGTGGGACCAGCTTTAACGTTCTTTTTTGTTTTACAATTCCCACTTTAATCAATGCTAAATGTCTATCACAGACCCAGTTCAGGTTTACGAAAGTGACACCTAGGATAAAAATAAAAAGGTAGGAATTCTTAGCCAAAACAAGCGGAATTTAATCTCTTAGCGCCTGGAAGAGAAAATAACAAAAGCAAAATTTACCTGCAAATTAGTAGATAGGTGAAACTAAGAGCAGATGCTGGCAGATTTCATGTTTGCCACGTGGCATGCAGAATAACACGCAACGCCCCACAATGCTTCGAACACACGCAAACACGTGATCGAGCACATGCAACTCACACCAGTCGCTCCCCCCATGTCCATCCACAGGCCACTGGAACCACAGGGGTCAGAGGAGGTCGCGGGCTTTGCGCCTCTGGCACGGCTGGGCTGGGCTCGTGCTAGAATCAGCAATGGGGGCAGCGCTGTGGTAGTATTATGGCTAATAATTGGGTGCATGATCTACCCATAACCTGAGCGTTTGTTTACATTCAGACTCGTGGCCCTATTTAGCTCCTTGCAATGTGAAAACACAACGACAATGGCGACATAACTTTCACGGTAATTGCCATATGCCAATTTAAACATGCATTTTGTTAAATAATGTCTATTAATCATACTGGGCAGAAATAAGATATGCATCCTTTGGATAGACTTTCAGTAGATATTTTGATTATTTAGGTGACTGCCCTCAGTAAAATGGAGACCGCACAACCCACTCCCGATCTTGAAAACTTGCTTCAGCGAAATTACTTCTCTTTATTTTGTCCGTTATAGTGGCGACAAATTACTTGAAAATTACGTATACCTACGAAGTATCGCAAACGTCATTCTTCACTGCCTGATAATCTTCTAAACCCCCAGTGGCAGTCATGGTTTGCGAATAAACGCGTCTCATTTTTACAAACTGAGTTTTCCTTGATTACCAAAGAACTTTAATGACTAAAGGAAGCGTCAAAGGCTCCACCTTTGGCGTTTAGTGTCCTTCGTGAGGAATGTTTGTAGAAAAGGTGATGATTTGAGATGCGTCACCAATGATTCCACACCCTTCCACAAATGGCCTCGTGTTTTAGTTTGTTTTTTTTTTGCCAAAGATGTTAAAAAACGGCTCAGTGCAACATTTTCGCTTTAATCGATTGAATTTTTTGTGTTGACTGATTTCCAGATATTCTGACTGCCTTCAATGATTTTTAACAACTGAAACCAATTTAATTAAAATATCCCTCCGAAGAAATCATTGTCCACACGCTGCTACTGATAATTCAGTAGTAGCACTTAATGTTGACAAGCGGGTGAATTTGATGGCCAGCTTAGGTCAGGTGGCGCGAGCATTTGACTGATTAGTTTCCAAATTTGAAAAACCCAAGTCGATGTCGGTGTGTTTAAATAATCTTGAATATGATATTTATTATAAAAATTAGACATAAATTGAAAGTTGTATTCTTCTTTATTTTCTAGTTTGTGTTACCGCATACATGGAATTTGATAAACTAGTAATTTATGCGCGTGATTTTTACATTGTAAGGCTCACCCTCTTAACGAAGTGATGTACGGTCAAAGGACCTACTCAAGACTTAGAAACCACAAAAGTCTTGATTATTTATTCGAAAATTGTATGAGCATAATATTTACTAAGAGCGTTAAGTCACTCGAAAAACCCAACTAACAAAGTGGGGGCGCAAATACTTTTACATTTGATAATTTCGAAGAAGTTGATTATTGTGCTACTTAGCTGTCCTCTCAACACTGCTCTCAGGCAAGCACTATTTCAGCAATTTTAACAAACACCCTTCTCATATTCTGGACACAGGCACAAATTGCCTAAAACAGCCACACCTGCACCTCAGGGATACAATAGCTTTGCATTAAGTTCATCAAAATAGTTCTGCGGTAAAACTACTACAATGGGGAAAGCCATGTGAAAAAAAACTAGTGCGTGAAAGCTCAAAATTAGCGCCCAACCCTCGCCCTTAAACGATCTTTAGCATAAACTAACTGATAGCACCTTTCGGCAAAGATTATACGAATTGATCTGAAAAAGTTTACTTTGCATTTCTTACGGAACATAAAATTAGGTGTTTAGAATGAGAGAGATGTTATCCTTGGACCATTTTATCCTTGTTACCCTTAAATCATTAACCCCGAATCCACAAAATACGATCGCTGAGACGTTGCTATGTGAGTGCATGTTGCAAGAGGGCGTTCCACTTTATAGATTGTGTGAATGTTATAATGTGCATATACTGGCAGTGGCACTCGGAAAAATTGTAATCAAGAAAACAGCAGCACGATTTGCTTTAATTTGTGGTCACCTCAAAGACTAACAGGAAGTGTGAGTGCAAATTTCATTTGATTCTGCACAAGGTGGAAGTCGAGCTAGTGTAGAACGGTAATCCGTCTTCTATTTTTAGGAGTGGGTTTCCAGAATATGGGTGTCATTTCATTCATTAAAACTTTAGCCTAATTCATCAAAGCATAAGACCACGCTCAACTTCACGAACAGTTGATTTGTCAAGGAGGATAAAATGTCGTCAATTACGAATCAACTGAGCACTCCACTTTATCGTGATTCCTTAAAATTAACTATCGTAGAGTTTGCAATCAGCCCAAGTTTTCTGTCACTTTCTAGCAAAAGAGCATTATCAGAACAAACAATTACTGCAAATGTGCGTATGTGGAATTGCTAAAAATGCCGAAAGCCACCCCGGTGACGGTCGAGAGGCTAACAAATTTGGCCAATACAGTCAAAATGAGTTTAGGTACCCATGATAGATGGCAAGTGTCACACCGGTGATATTACCATAGGCGGATTCGCAGCTATCAAAACCTCTCCTATCCATTAATCAGATAACATTCCCATTTTCCTTATGACTGTAAACACCACAAACTGGTGTAGAGACAACATGAGGAAATAAAGTTGAAATATCAAACATACACTAGTGGAGAGTAAATTGGTCACAAAGGTATACGCGTGCCTATCATTCTTTTTCATGAGTGCATCAGGCCTCCGTTAAAAGTTAGCCCATTATTTCGGTATGATCATCTCACACCGTGACACCAATCATTGGGTAACTAATGTGGTGCTTCAACTCAAAAACTCACTCTCGCTGTTTAGTGCACTGACAGGCTCATTGGTGAGTGAAGGAGCGCCTTATAAACCACAATAATTAAGAGTCTGACTGTATTTACTTAACGCGGCTGATTTAAGAAGGCAAAATCTGGCTTCTCCATTGAGAAAGTAGAATGTTTTCGATTATAAAGCGGCGACGATCTGCCACAGCGTATCAATTGGCCCCTTTTAGTATTGTTTTAAGTAGGGTCACACTAATAAGGATTAAAATAAAATATACTGCAAACAAAAGAAGAATGCATGAGAGCCTTCAGCCATTCTTGCAAAAAAACAAAACTGAAACTACATCTTCCTATACGCAAAAGTTTGCGGAGGCAGTAATGGCGCCTAGACAAGTATGCACCATTAATCTTGATATCGTGCCCGAATTGTGCAAGTCCAGTCCACCGAAAATCTTCCATTCAAATGGGTGCTCCAGCCCAAGTGTACTATGCTGTCTATATTTTTGCCTAAGGAACACAATTTGCTTCTAGTCATTTGTGCAAGACAGGTAGAGATGCTTCCGGTGCCAACCATACTTCCAAAGTACTATCAACTTAAAAAGTTAAAGCCTCGACAAAAAGCCTCCATCTGTAGGAAGTGCAACCAAAAAAGTCAAAATTATGACAATTCTCAGTCATGCTTCAGTCAACTTGAACGAAGTGCTTTAAAGTCAATTGCAAAATTCCTGTAAAGTAGTCATTCTAAAGAGAATCGGTTCATTTGAACGCCAGCTTGCAAGAAACCGCACATGGATAACATTAATCTCGGGTGAAGTCTGCATGAGTTGAGGAAGTTAGCGAGGACACCGCTCGCCGAACACCGCACTTTCTTCCCCAACAATTTTTAATCTGGAAGTAAACCCATTTTCGCACAGAGGGCGCTATTACGTACTTTAAACAACACCCAGACTGATCTTAAGGTTCTTTACCATCAATATGCAGCAAATATTAGCCACGACCATTGCAACACCAATGTAAAATCGCCCACCTTAATACGACCAGCTTACGCAGTCGTGACCACATCATTCATCAGGTAGTATTCAGTCTGTTACCCAAGTGACGGTTTTGACTTGTTTTTGTTGTATCTGGAAATGGTAAGCACGTCAGAAGACAAAGGTCGTCTAGGAGCGCCGCAAATGAAGTGCTCGCAAGCCCTTCCCTGCTGTTGCAATGGCCAAATGTTAGGTATGGCTCGATTTCCTTTAAGGAACGGTAATTTAATCACACAATTAGTGTTATATTACAGTCAAAGGGTTACCTTGAAATGTACGACTAGCACAAATGATTCATCTAAAAAATTTGGAACTCGAAAAGGCGTATTGGCTCCCGCACAACGTTTCCGCTGACGATGAGTGTAAGGGTAACAAACATGCAAGTCCGCAACTCTGGCCCGCAACAGGGACTAGTGGAACCCCGAGCTTCCGGCTCCGTAATGTAAAGGCCTCCCAAAGACAAAAAACGTAAGAGAACATAAAGAACTGTTTGACCAAGTCAGAGAATGACGTGCTACTGTTCAAGTTTCCAGAACGCACGAAGAGAAACCAAGGAGCGACGACGGTGAAGGCAGCTATGTACACCCAAAGTGAGGTGGAAGGGGCCTAGGCAAGGCACCTCATAGGCTCGCATGGTGGGACTGCGACATAATGGGGACGGTGGGAGTGGGGGGCTGCTGATCAGGGGGCGGGAGACAAAGGAGATGCTCGGGTGGAGGGCAGGTGGCCACCGAGTGTCGTGCGGCCAGAAGGCGGTCCTGCGCACTAAGCTGCGCCATCCGCTGTTCGATCTGCTGCCGCACCAATCCGTACTGGAAGTAGATAGCGTTCCGGTACTCCGCCTCCTCCTTCTCCAAAATGCGTAGGAAGTTCATCAGCTCCGCCGGGGTAAAGTCAGACCACTGTCGAGGGGGCGACATAAAAACACTACTAAATTATTTACAGGCGGGTCTAGCAACAAATGAAGTTCAATTTCACGCCGCAAAATCACAACTGATTAAACGTCTGTGACATTCAGTTCTCGAAAGTTTGACAAGGTCAGCAAAAGCAACCACATTATATTATTTATAAGGTGATATCGCTGTCAATAGCAATTACAGGGAAGCTAACGTGGATTTTCGCAGAAAAAAAATTAATACTCCTGGCACTTTAACTGCTTAAATTCAGTGGGGGCAAGATCCAATATTTTATGCTTTCTGTGCGTCGGACATAACCAATAACCGGTGCATCATGTGTCTAGAGGCTACATTCTTAACAGCCAATTCAGTAAGCTTCACCATCAAGTGACTTTAAGACTGACTCTTTTGTTTCAGCCGTTTGTACACTAACTATCCCATTTAATCATTAAAAAAGATGGTAAAATGTGATTCAATCGACTTCCAGCAGCATGCACCGTAATAACGAGTCACGATCCAGGTAATCGGGATGTCAAATAGTCAATTCCAACCATGACAATAAAAGCCATAAAAACTGAAGCGATTATTCATAATTTCACATTTAATTTCGATTCCAGTTGTTGTTCCATCACGTAGGACAGACAAAAGTCACGAGGGAAAAAAAATCACCCAGTATTAACACAACAATCACTTAGCGAAGTGGGTGAACAATTAAGAGGGCGAAGAGACCATTGCACCGTTTCGAGAGAAGTGATGCGCATAAACAAGGGCTAAAACAGAATCGGTCTGGCCCACCGACTGCGCACACATGTCAGCGTGCGGATACAGGCACACACGTGGCTGTGCGTGTGCAAACACGGCCAAGGTTAAATGATAGTCTACCGACAAAAAGGCGGTGGTCGGTTTCCCTCTCACCCTTGCTCTCTAGAAGATTCAGGTTGAACTGTTTGAGGTTAGGAACCGGCCATTATTAGCGAGACTTACCTTGCATTTGCCTTCAGGTTTAGTAGAACCATATGAATTCCTCGAAAAATTCTATTTTGTCGGGCAAGGAAAAGAAGCGTTATTGATAGATTTTAACGCCATCGCGGTTCGCGATGGACCCAATACGGATAAAGGAAAAATGTAAATGAAACACTGAGTGGAGCAGAGTAATGGCAGCACAGCTTTTAAGACGAAAGAGAGGTCCGGTGCTGATAACATCAATCTGTTAATGAAAAACTGAGAAACAGCACACCGAATAGCCCACGCTAAAGTGACATGGACAAAGTCACCCTAGTAGCCGAAGGAAGAAGGAAAGGAAGGGAGAGGAGTAAGAAAACCAGCGGACGTACATTAACCTCCCAGTTTTCGTTCTCTTGCAGGACAATGCGCTTGCGCCGGACGACTACAGCGAAGTCTTCACCTGCTGAGAGGGTGGATCGAACCCAATGCATCAACATGGAGAGAGGACGCTCAGAAGGCGGTAGCTTTCGCGATAAAACTGCAAGTTAGCATAAAGCGATCAGCTAGACGAGCTAGGTCCCTCCAGAGGAGTGCAACTTACAAACATTGTTTTTTTAATCAATCACTCATGGTGACTTGTAAGGGCGCAAGCCCCTGCCAATCGTATCAAGGGGTTTTTCGTATTTTACAATGAAGAGAGATGGGGTGCCTTTCGGAACATTTATGAAATGGCTAAACAGAATACCGATTTCACGTGAGCATTGGCTTTGAACTCAAGCAGGACTGATTTGAAGCCGCTTACTCACTACCTCGTGCCGTTCACACACAATCTGGCAAGCATGGTCCATTGGGTGAATATGTGACGCCAACAAAAGGGCAAATAGAGGCAACCATGGCCTTAGTCAGTCAGCCCACGTGTATTGATCCTCGTGGTTGCACGTACGCGTAACGGACGTGGCGAGGATGACAATGCGTTACCAATTTTGGGCCGGTGGGAAAGGGAGGGGACTAGAGGGTTCATGCAATGGTAAAATTACTACTTACTTGTTTGGGTCTCCAAGGTGTGTTCGTAGAGAGCGAATTTGCTAGACGATTCTTGAATATGAAACCGGTCAAGGAGACATTGAATTACCTCCTGTGCAGAAGTCGAGCTAAAATAAAAGCAACTAATATCTATAACGCAGAATGGATTGAACACGGCTCGAGATTTCCTCATTACCATATACTTTTGTTTTATAGGAAAGTAGCGCATCTCTATAGATGTCTGAACTTTATTGACAGCAGCGTGCAAGGTTTTAGCCAAGAAAAGCCATTTCTCTTGCGATTCATGTGGGGCATTCTCCATCCTAAGTTATTCCAATGAAGCAATTTGCAGTTATAACTGAGAATTCGTTCCAACATCCACTAAAGAAATCCTTATCTTTGCATTGCTTTCAAGCGTATACCTAAATTTACGTAAAAATAATTTCCATATTTCAGAAGTGTGGGAACATTTCCTCAGTTCATTGAAGCTCACTAAGACGTAAAAGCAATCACATCAAATGAGTAGGTGTCTTTTGGAAGAGGATTTCCAAACAATTCAATCAAACACACAAGTAACCGCAGTGTCACCACGTTGAATCAAAAAGAGCCGATCACTTTACAGTCGAGCATGCCATTGAATAGGAAGAACCTCAAAGTATGTCGTGATTGTGGGGAAAAAATATAATCAGGATTTCGCCCATGGATTAAGGAAAGTTCCGGATCATTGTTTTATGCAAGGCAATGGCGTCTCAACCACCTGTTTGCGATCACATCGATGGGGGCTAAATTGAGTGCTCAAAATAACTGGATAGTATTCAAAGTAACTTCGTTTCTGAATCTAACAAAAGAGCAGAACACCTACTGGCATTCCAAGGAAATTAAGCAATTTTTTGTCAGTCAGTCTATTTTTAGTGAGAACGCACAATTAAATAGGGCATGGTGCATCAAAGACGTTGTGGCTGCGTGGAAATCGCCAGACCTTAAAAAAGGAGCTTATACATAGGGATGCATTCACTGTACAAACGGCAACTGGAAATTTGATCACAGCCTACCCCTTTACCTTCCAGGTAAAATGGTGGTAAGAGAATACACAATAAACGTGAGTTTACTCATTTGAAATGGTTTAATGGAGGCATAAGGAACTTAGGGAAGTTCACTTTACTACAAATAAAAGTGCCTTAGTGATCGCAATGACAAACTCATAATTTAGGCTAGCTATGAACCACCACGTTTTGCCTATTTTCTAACAAATGTAAGAAAGCGATCTGTATTTTAGGGGGAAACAGTAACTCAGGCTAATTATTACCTAGAATGCTAAAATGCCAGAAGTAGACGGCTGAAAAGGCTGATCAAACGGGCCACCGTCGCCGCTCCAAACCTGTGATTAAGTTGCGTCATCTGGTATCAGTTTTAGCACACAGTGATTATGTAGTTGCCACACCCCCACCCACCACTTTGACGTAGTGAAGATGCCTGCACTGAATGCATCTTGTGGGCACAACAAATCGTCTCACCGCACACCCACATTGAACGGAGGATTCAGGAAGTCTTTGGAGCATGTAACTTTAAGCAGCAAAGTTTCCTTGCCGTATAGTGATTCGAGAGAAAAACTCAGAATCCGATCTTTCCGCAAATCGCTCAACCGGACCGATTTGCTTGAGGTACTAATCTAGGGTGCCATTGTTTACACTAGTGAAGAGAAATTACCGAGAGCTGTGGGGAGGACAGTCAGATAATGTAGTGATTACGATGTGAGACAATCGGCCTAGATCATAGAAAGGGATACAAGCGGTCAGGGTTACTTGATGCCTATTGTTAAGGCACATGTAAAAAACTAAAGGGAGCGCAGGACCACTACGATTCCATAAAACCCACTAAACAGTTCTATTTAATGTTTGTGTGTGTGATTTAATTTTGAATATTTTTCGGAGCTAAGATAGGTTTGGATTCGAGACCATAAAACGGATCGAACTTCGCATGAACATCAATAAAAATCATCCAGTGTCACCAATAAGAACGCCAAGTGGGTGTTTGGTGTAAATCATTATCCGTACGATAAAATAGGATCGGTGCGGACAACGAAGTTGGCGCAGTAAATAAAACGCTAATGGACTCGCAGTTTAGTCGGAAAGGCAAGCACACTGGCCCTTTTTTGTAGCGCTGGCACCTAGTGTGCGTGGCTGTGACGGGGATGCGGAGAGTGGGTGGGGCATGACTCAACTGCACGGCGCTCCAAGCAACAGGTCAGAACCTGCCTAACGCTAGATTAAGGCGGCATGAAGAGGCTTGCGCATAGAATCATTATTGAGCATGGACATGAAAAACTATTGCGAGGCCAAGAAGCGACGATTAGAAGGAACTTGCACGTCACCTCTGATGCGAAATTGACGAAGCTCAGATCACCAGAAGCCAGCCAACGGCGAAAGTCCTTTAACCAGAAGACAAAGCTGGCACTAGTAGTCCAAATTGCTAAAACCTTGTAAAATTCAAAAACTCTAAGTCAAAACAGTCAGTTCTAAGCAGCAAAAGTGATCTACCTGCTTTTTAGTTGAATAATCACACACTAGCCTCTTAATGTCCAAACGCTCCGCTCAGTGAGAGATTGCACGCACTTAGAAAAGCCGTTTTACTAATGTAGACAGTTGGAGGGCAGAATTTTCTTTACCCAAAAAAATTTTAGCATAGTTCCATGGAACTAAGGGCTGGATAAGTCACTGTTACTTAGAGTTTGGGCCCTATGGCGAAGTGTTTACCACCAAATTTAACAGTCTCGTCACCTCCCGGCCAAAAGAGGACAAAAACAGTTTTTTAAACGTATGACAAAAAGCGTGATGAAAGTGACCTCTTACATTTACACGACTGATTTCATAATGAAATAACGACACGGGATTAACTTTAATGAAAAAAACTTCAAGGGCTCAGTCGAACTGAGTCACCTGTGGCGGAAGTTACGTCTGTGAAGGAAATCGTGTAGGTAACTGGTACTAACTTGTGTCCAGGCCTTAGTGCATATCAAATGTCACCTGGAGATGTCAAGCCAACCACTGACTTGCTGACACATTGCTCTTCGGTTGAGGATGATTGATCTGCCTTGGAAGAATTTGTGTGCGAAGAGGCACTGGGACAAACCTAACCCAGGCCTTGAATATAGGCAAAGACAGTTCGGAAGGTTAATCAAAGGAGGAAGTGACTCAGATGAAACAGGCTGGAAAATATGTTTTATAAAGGGACCGGCCTGTTGAGTTACAAGTTTGTGAGGAATTTAACGCAATTCGAAGAGAAACTCCGTTGTTTACAAACTTGCATGACTGATGTGTGTACCCTGGAAAATCATAAACCGACAGACGATATAGTTGGAAAGAATAAACTATTCAAAACATGGATATTTTAATGGAGCAATGAAATGGATAGTTGATGAGGTGAAAGCATCCAAAATGGTGATCCCCGTTTTGGTGCTGACTTTGGTATCCAGATTGCGCTTCAACGCCTAGTAGAATGCGTAAAACCAAAACGGAGGGTAAGTGAAGGGGGAATTACTAACTGACCTGGAGAGCTGGAGGAGACGCGAGCCACCGCGAGGAAGGAAGAAAGAGATGAGACGATCGGGAACCGCGACGTCAGCAGCCTGTCGCGGCATGTGACGGATTGTTTGGCGCAAAGACATCTTCACTGGCTTAATGAGGTTTATGTACACTCGGATTGTGCCCACTAATTTGCTTGTGCCTTCCACCTGGGTGCGAGGAGCGAGAGAAGGGAAGAGGTGAAACGGCTCATAGGTGTGGAGACTGAATATGAACGCACATACGCTTGTGCGTCAAGTGCTAAACTAAGAGCGAATGGATAAGTCAACCAAGTCCTCGATTTTCGCATACCGATGAAGCACGCGAATCAGGTAAATACCGCATTGCCGTTACTATGTGACAGATTTGTACTGATAATGTTAAAATTCAACAATGGGAGAGGAGTTGGACAGCTATCCATACGCACGATTCGCAGACATCTAATGGGCATGTTTAGAGGATAAACGAGCTCAAATAGGAATGCAGCAAAGAAACAGAAATGAAATTAACCAAATGCTTTAAAGCAAAAAGCTCTCGATATCAATGATTTATGCATACAGATTCGACCAAAAGGAATCATTTTGAGAGAGACACACAAATGTACAAAATGGAACTCTATTCGTATGGTGTACATGTTATGTGTCAGGCAATCTGTAGAATTGACGCAAAAACAATGAGAGTTTCAAAACAAATAGAGTTAAAGTGGACTGGAAACAAGGATTCATTTGAAATCAGACAGATCACACAAAGCCTTTAGAAAGCAGTGAGTAGGGATTAACTTTAGTCCTCTCTTTCAGTTATGGTTCATAACTGTACAAAGAGTTTTAAGCAAAATTTAAAGAGCATCCGCGAATTAAACGCAGCTGTAGTAGCAGCCAGTAGGAGGAGTACTGATCGCCTCTCTCTCAACACTTGAAGCTCTATTAACGCAATGTGATTGTGCACAATGAGCCGGCACGGCAGTCAGATATGAAGCAACGCCTAGTGCCGCTTCGACGGTACGAAATCAAAAGGTAAATATAAAATATATTATGCACACTGAAGGTCATTTTACAATAATGGTAACACAAAACACGCCTTTTGCTTCTCAGTGGTAAAAGAAACAAATTTAGGTACCAAGTGCAGTAATCACCAACAGGACTGTACGTTCAAAAGTAACTAAAGTAAGGAAAACACTTTAAATAAACAGCAGAAATGAAGAGGAGCCGAAAACTAAAAACAAGGGCAATTTTCAAAAAGTAAAAGAAACTTTCTGGAGAGCTCTTTGATGATGAAGAAAGCTATGCCAGAATGGTAGGCTTTTAGTGGTTGGCAATCCCTGGGCGAATTCATCTAAGATTCGCTGATTGCTTATTTTGACAATACAGCTCGCTAAAAAGACATAGGAGTGCGTCATTCCCGAATTACAAAAAACTTTCAAGCTATAGCGATTTCAAAACTTTTTAAAGCTCTTACCTACCGCTGCTGGATGCCACTTATTTGGACTTCAGTAAACGCCTTACATACCCTCAAATGAAGAATTACCGGTTTTACTAATGAACCTACTGGTAAACCCGGGTAATTTGAGGAAATCACCTAAATGGCGAACTGCAGGAATGTTATCAACTCATATTTGAATCTTGTATTGGAATCCTGGCACAAGATATTTGTGGATAAACTTGGTTAAGGATAGTGCTTTTGAATCCATAATGAATGCAGTTACTAAATAAACACCAGAACGCTGTTACAAAATCGTTTTATGTCTAGAGCAGCCAAGTCATCATTAATTCTTGTTGTAAAAGAATACTGAAAAATCTACAAACATAGAACTAAAAAGAATAGTTTTAATTGTACCATCCCTTTAATACACGACTATCCGTGTAGCTATGGTGAGCACGTTCCAAAGACTGCGAAAATAGCTAACCGTAAGCCAAATCGCTTTCCACCACCAAGGGCATGTAAGTGGTTCCATTAGCCCAAGGGACTGGCGGCAATTCAAAGTTTTGCGCCACTACACAGGAGGACCACAAACGCAAGCTTTCCATGTCTATCCGGTCTCATTACCAGATCACACGCACCAATCGTACAAATCTGTCGCGTTCCAGGGATGAACCAGAATGTAGGCAGAGGTTCTACAACAAAACTAAGGAGGCACTACGATTTGCACAAATCGTTCCAATTTTGAACGACCACCATATCTGTTTTTAAATTTAATTGAGTTCCTGTAATCAAGTACACAGGACCACTAACAGAGCTGGTACGTGAAGATGAGACTGCCACAAGTTCGATCCGGCTCGACTATTCCACCCACCACTTGGCAAACAGTGAAAGCAAATTCATGTAGGTCGTGAAGTTACAACTAATTCCTTAAAAAGTATGTTTGGAGGTTCTATTACTAAATTACTTGAAGTAAAAACAGCGGATTGCGACCTTTAATGGTAGGATGCTACATACTAACTTATTCTTTCAAAAAACTAGGTCGGGTTCGCGTAAGAAGAGTATTCTGATATACTTATTATTACAATTTTGAGTAATAATAATAATACTGTGGTTTATATGCGAATTCGATTTTTTGTGCAGTTTTGTGTGATGAGTAGACTACCTGAATTCTGACGTGACCAGACGGGCTACTTCAAGGCACCCTAAAAGCTACTAGTTTCACTGAAGCGACTTCACATGCGGCTATAATCTCAGTTGAATCACTCAAAGACCCTGTATAAAGGTGGTAGAAGTAATTGCGGTGTCACTTTCCTCTAAGACTGTGTCTTATAGTTCACCTTCAAAAGTTTGATAGACATTTCCCTATCCATATCAACTTGCGATTTTTTCGCTGTAATTCTCTCAGATGATAAGTTACTACCATAGATTCATTTAAAAGGGACTTGTAAATGAGAATAGTCAAGTGTAAAACTATAGTATAAATTGTACCGACTTGCCATACTCAAACAAAGCAGCCTCACCCTGGTTCTCAAGCAGTTCAGAAAGGTGGTTATCTACGGTAGCGTAATTAAACTTAAGAACACCCGATTGGAAGTCGCCTTTGAATCCAACAGAATAAACACTGATGCAAGGGAGCCAAAAAAACTTAAGTTTAAAGCGCCTGAGAAAACAGAGTAAGCCTGTATTCCTTTGGTGCCAAGCAAATAACAATTCGGCACCGATGCTTCTTCATCAGCTTTCGATATCGAACCCCTCATGAAAGGCACTATTCGAGAACTGCCATTGTTTTTTAGTTTGGTGTTTTGATAAAGCATTTATAGCAACTTGCTATAAACTAAGCATTTGAAACCATCCAAACGTGCATTAATGTTATGGCACATGAAAACTTGACAGAAAAAAGAGTTAAACTAATAACCTCAAAAACCATGCTCCACTTCGATTGTAAAAAATAATTATTGATAAACTACACATTCGAAAGCCATTAGTTTCACAAAAATTCACCAGATTCATTCGTAGCCCAAGCGGGTTTGTGTTGAAGATATTGGCAATGTTGACGACTTCCTGTTGTGTAAGGGCTGCCAGTGATTCTGCCCGTCGGAAGGCATAGCAGGGGTGTGAAGAGGTAACGTTCTTCACACTCAGTCGCATCCAAGCGATAAAGTCGGAGTCGAGAGTGCTGAAGGCGTAGGTGCTCTCCTCCTCATCCTCACTGTCGCCCTCAAAGGACAGACTACCCTCCCCTCCCTCCGCGTCATTCACACTGTTCAGCGAGGCTGAGCACCGACACAGCGTCGGCAGCGCTCGGCAGTAGGGGCATACGAAAAGCTGGCGAACAACGCTCCCAGTGCCCTCGTTTTTATTGATGCTGGCACTGCTGAAACTGTTACTATTGTTCCACGGTGCCGGCGGCGGAAGCATACTAAGACTGGGTGTAGGAAAGCTGCCGTCAGGTCTCACTGTTTCCAGAGTCGTGGAGCTATCATCACCAGCTAAGGGGGGAGGTAGTGATGATAGTGGTGGTGTCGAGGGCTGGGACGTAGGCGTGTTGCATTGCCCGGGTCGAACAGTAGAGAGGGAGGAGGTAAATGAGGTGGAAGTACCACTACTTGTGTTAGTGCCGGTGGCAGCGGAGGCGGTTACTCGAAGGCTTTTATTCTGCTCCTCCGCATTCGGCGTGGAGGCTTCCGGTGTGGCGGAGGTGGTGGCAAAGAAGACGTTGGCACTTTGGCGAATGTCTGCTGGACAGCCGCGCGATGGAACACGATTAACGGCTCCTGGGGGCACTGAGGGACTTTGTAGACGCAGGGGGGGACACTGTGGGGAGCCCGGTCGAACCGCGTGGATTATGGGCTACAGTGAACACACCAAATCGCAAAGGCAACGCTATAGACATTTACGTGGAATTTAACACGCTTTTTGTAAGAGTATTTAGGCAATATCCAAGACGTACGGAGGGAGATTACTAGGATGCATTTGAGCAGTTAAAAATGTGTGGAACATTTTCCGCATATCACCTCTAAAGGGCAAATGCGGTGTTTGGGTCTCCGTATGCCAATGGGAAGGATGAGAAACTAGTTGATCTTCGTGTTGTGGACATACTACACATTCAGCCCTCGAGTGATGCACATTGCTCGGAATATACATTTGAACCTAGGTGTATTCGCAACATATATTCACATATGTAATGAGATCCAATGCTTTATCCCATCCCCTTCCTTCTCCTCCAGAATCGTGCGCACGGGTGGGACAATATCACAGATTGTTTATTGACGTTTCATACCTAAAAATTTAACTAATATTTTTACACCAGTGGTTCCACGTCAAACTTCCCTGACATGTAAGCACTAAAGAAAGGTGCAAACCGGATCCAATATTGGTTTCACTACTGCAGGAATAAGTCTTGGCATTTAAGCTTCACGTACCGAGAGATTCCGACTCTTAGAATTGGAAGAAAGTCCAGATTGGCTCACGATGGCACCTGAAAATAGATAACGATATAGCCAGAAAACTTAAATTTTACAAAGGTATCTTAACTCATGTGTATATTGCGCACTTTTGTCCTGCATGGGTCTGATAAAACCAGAAAAGAAGAGTAAGGTACAACTTGGGCAGTATCACACCACTGGGGGCCGAAATCGGACAGTATGGATGATACAAATTTCCAGAAACAAGTTACAACGGCTCTCTCAATGACTAGCACTAATGTACGAAAAATGTACGGGAAGAGGAAGTATGAGCCATTGCTGCAGTTCATTCTAGTAAGTCTTAATCGCAGTAATGATTTATTGCAAAGTAAGAAGTGTTCATTTATAAGAAAGAATTGGTTTTTCGTTCTTACAAAGTAGTTGAGCAAAGCACCGAATGTTTTGTGATCTGGTGCAACGCATGAGGTGCACCATGTGAGGAAAGAAACCATTAAAGAAGCAAAGCGAGGGCTAGCCTTTTTGAGGAACGGAGCTAACTTTATCCCTTCGGGTATTTTTTTAGCATCGCCGAAGGGGGGGGGGAGAATTGATTGCTAAGCTACCTTGGCAGAGGATAGCGTCTGAAGCAGTTGCGCATAAATACAGGACATTGAGAGTTCATGGACCATCCCGATGAATGCCTTCACTTGTTTACGAGACATTTACTTCAAACCCAAAGTCCCCGCAATCATAGCTAAGTGGTTTTTACCAAAAAAGGGCCGCATGCATTATCCACAAAATCAACCACTTTGGTTTATTGCGGTAAAAGGTAATGAATCGACCAAATGTACACCTAATATAGGAGACTCCGTCGGACAGGAATGCAACCAAGCTCAAGTTAACTTTTTTTATCAGAAAAGGGAATCCGTAGTGGTCAGCAGCCCTCAAGATGATAAAGTAATAACATAATAAATATGTTTAGGTGTGTTCAAAAAAGTTTGTTGTTAACTTTCAATTAAATGCAAATTCAATCGAACAAAACCACACTCACCTCTTCTGCTATGTGATGCGTCAATTATGGCAAGCAGTGATCCCCGGCAAGTCATTTTTTGCCGGTGGGGATGAGAAACAACCACAGATTAAAGAGAATTCAATTTAGGTAGGGAGTTTCTAACACATACAAACGACCCACTTTTTTGCCCTAAGGGGCAAGCGCTTGTTGCGAACCCCACAGAATCGACCTAAACGATGCATGAGTCATTTGACGCATGACTAACCCCATCGCGTCACTCCTCTGCCAGTCCCCTTCCTCATCGGGGCCAGCTTCGGCAATTCAGTTGAATTGCATTCCCCATCTGCGACGGAAGCAGCAACAAATATCGGTTACACAGGTGGATGAATTGCCTCCCTCGAGGGTAAATCAGAGAATTAATTAATTAGGGTAATTGAGAAAGGCAATCACTTCTGTGGTTCAAATAAATTGAGACAGGGTGTGACCCGGAGAAATACCGGCGCTTAAACCAAGCACGAAAACAGTCAGAGCAAATTAAGCAGTATAGTTTCACAATCGCATGCCGCAGAGCAAAGATCGTTAATAACCTATAGATTGTAAAATGAAAGATTTCATGTTGTTTTTACAGTTTAAAGAAGATCCCAAACAGGAGCCATTTCGATTACTGCAACATTTCAGCATTCGTGTCGCAGGAACAGGAGACAATTTTGGTGGTAAAGCGGAAGAATAACTAGTGAGGTGGCTTTTCTTCCAGAATGCTATGCAAATCTGTACTTCATTCCCATCACTAGGAGAAAATGAGGACAAATTGCATTAAGATGTGAACTGTAAGGGCTGGGGAAAATCGTCCAAGCAGTCCTAATCCAGGATGATTTAATGAGGGGGCACTGGTTTGCTCCTCCCCACACCTAAAACGGAATAACGACTGGAAATCTTCCCAATTTCTCAAAGAGGAATTTTCGTGCGTAAACACTGAGGGGCTAACCGAATTATTGCGAATATACCCGGCAGTAAACGAAAATTTCACCAAAAAAGGTGCTATTATGCAAGTAGTTTTTAACCCTAGTTCATACGTATAACGATCGCATTCCACAAAACTATGTATTCTTGTTGCGGTGCGAGGAACAGAGTGGTGAATGCTTTCAACGTGATGTCGTTAAAGTAAGAACGAATAAATGCATTCAAGTGAATTATTCTATTCTCGGTAAACATGACTGGCCAGTCTCTTATTGACACTCTATCACCCAATGTTTCATCAAACAAAGTCTAAAATAAGCTTTTTTAAAATTCTGACAAAATATCAACAGCGTAGCTGCGCACGACCTCACGTGCTCTCTGCTTGCAAGACATATTGAATTTGCTCCACTTTGTTTTAATGGGAAAGTAGTTGATGACATATTTTCACTCATTTAATAATCACGAAACCTATTAAACCAACAAGTTGATAAATACAAAAATGAGACATCTACCAGGTCGAAGACAGGCCGGGCGGTTAAAGTGTCCGATTCTGGGGGGTCCGACAGCATGGGAGGCGTTGGAAGACGAGGACGAAGAGCAGGCCGAGGACATGGTGGAAGAGGAGTTCGTGACCGAGGGAGACCCCGAGGAGTTGTCATCGGGTGTCTGGGCCATGCTCTTTGCCAGAGTTCCCAAATCGATGCACCACGAGAGTGGCCGTTGCCCGCTGGAGATCTGGTATGAAAAAATCTGTTCCTCATAGAGCTTCAGACTATCCGTCATCACTCGAGTGTTGGAACGCGAGCTGGCCTTTGTGCAAGGCAGCTGGATGCGTGAGTAGTGCCGCCCAATCACTGGTCGCGTCGCCAGCCTCTTGGTTGGAATGGCCTCCCTAGGAAGGAAGTGTGGACCTTGGTTGGACGGGGATGTAGACTCTGGTCCACCGCCAGGCATGACTATGTTAACGGCTGAGCGTTCTAGCGATGGTGAGGACGTGGAATCGTGTAGTTTCGCGGATTGCGTGAAGGATGGATGCTTGGCTGGAGAATTGGAGCCCTTATTGCTGGCTAGCATACCAATGGCGCCATTCCGCGGGGCGGCTGCAGGGTGTGCGGGTGGGAGTTTGGCGTTCGGGTTACTAATCGCGAAGTTATCGATCGAAGCTACGCTACGGAGACGCGGTAGTGGGTCTTCTGAGGGCTTGGATACAGGAACGTGAAAGTAGATATCGCTCTCCTCTGAGTAACCGGGTAGGGCTGTCTCAAAACTTGCGTGTCTTGCAAGAAGTGGCCTTGGGCTGGGAGAACTTGACCTGTAAGAGTCTGGTGACTCGCAGCGACGAAGTGTCTTGAAACTCTTTGACCGGGTTACACACGCATGCCTAGGTGTGTTGATGAGGAGGGTGGAAGAAAAGTTGCCAGAGGAATGCCTGCTTTCCTGGGCTTGGTTTTGGCCTACATTAAAGATCCCAGCCGCTGTGCGAAGTAGGAGCGACCGTGGATGCAGCGGTGGCAACTGTTTTGTAGCCGCCATTTCAAGGTCGCGTGCGCACGTAACTAGTACGGCTGAGTCAGGAGCTTGCAAACCAATCGTCTGCCGCGCGTCTTCCAATTGGTCCTCACTGATTGGTGCATATTGACTTGCTGTTGCCACTGAATGTCTACGTAGCGTAATAGCGGCAGTCCCGTTACTGCCCTCATAGTGCACGACGGCGCTATTTCCGCAGTAGTTCGCCCGTCTTATTGGCGGCGACTCTGAGCGACCTCGCAGGGTGATTCTCACCTCTGCTTTCGCGATCAGCTGCCTTTGCGGTAGCACGAACTGACTGCCTATTGGCGGCAACGGCTTCGTTTCACGGCTGTCCAGTTGCATAAGGAGCATTTTGATGCTTTAAAGGTGAGCTCACTAAGCTCGCTAGTGTGGGTATGTGTGCGAGTGTGTGTGCAAGAGAGGGGCTATAGTACGCCCTCTCAGGTAGAAGGCAAATTCGTCCTACACGCCCAACATGCTGTTGCTTTTGTCGAATCAGATTGATCGCGACAGGCGCGAGCCAATTAGAAAACAGCAATCCCGCGTTGTGTTTGGGGCGGTTGGGATCACCTAGCGCCCTAACTATAGTTTATCCACTTTACCACTACACAAGTGCCGTTTGAGCCGATAGACACTATCCATAACAGGGTAGAAGTTAGTTAAGTTTAGAAGTATCAGTTAATTAGTCGGCATTCGACTAAAAACCCAAAGTTAAACACTTACATGGGAATTTTACAGCCCTTACAATCTTTTCAAGTCATTTAAGTATCCTTGGCGAGTGAGGGGGTGTGAAAAAAGGGGGCTAATCAGATGTCTTCTTTCACAGAGTAGGGCTTCGAGTAAAAGGCCCCGATCGCGGTTTTTAGTAGCATCCACGCGGGATATTGGAAACTTTTCCCAGATGAATGCACAAATGTGAAACCGTTAGGTGATCAAGGACATGTAGGCTTGGGGTGAAGCAATATGCCTTAAGTCAGGTTGTGAAGTAAGGTTCTCTTGCATGGAAATGCTAGTTTTATTTAGGGCATTGTAGGTAGTCAAAATTGACCATGCAAAATCCCCAATACTTCAAATAGCGTTGGATGTGGTAGGAAGTAAGGGAGGTTGTACATTGAGATTCCGTTTCCCCTTTTGGATGCGCGCTCGGTGCGAAGATATCGAAACCTTTACTTGAGCATTAAACACTTGTATGGAAAGTATTTCATTGTTTTCTTGCACACTGCTTCCCCAAATTCAATGCGACGGTAACAGTTTGATAAAGATTGTCCAGTTCGCCAGTTGTAGGCGGAAATATTTGCTTTTGAGTTTCCTTTACCGACGATGGAAGCTGACCAAATTAGACACCGACCACTTTTCTGTACAGAATAAATTTCGTGAGGACTGTAGCAGAAATGAAAGCAAAGTTCTGATGAAATGAAATCCAACACATTCGTTTAATATTGGTCTGCACAAAAATACTCCTCCGATTGCTGAAGTCAACTGTCTACCAGTTTCTAACTCTTACCTCCTGTGTAACTCGAAACTTGCCATTTCTAAATAAGTGTACATTACAGTCGCAGAAGCAGCAGTGAACAATCGGACGGGTTGCAGACGAATGCATTTTTGTTTGACAGAGTCATTGGGCTTTACTTTAGTGTTGTGCTGCCAAAATAAACAACTGTGATTTAATGACAGCCTTTGTCCTTTTGGACTATCTTTCTCAGTATTGTTTTCAATGAATTTTTCAACGCCGGCCGACAGCTAGCATAGTGAGATACATATTAAATGTATGCATAACTGATCAGACTTCCTCATTTACCATGTTCTCATATAAATCCAAATCACCTCTCTTTTAGAATTGGTACAGCAGGCAACTTTTACTCCCCCTTCAAATAGCACAGTCAGCAGTTTGTTAAGCAAGTGAGGCCATCAATTCTTTTGGCACTACTATTAGGTATAATGTGTGGATCAGCCTCAAGCGCTTCCACCTTTACCCTCAGCATGAAAGGCATTCTAGCTCAAAAAAGTTGACCTCTAAAATGACTTGGGAGATTCATAGAATTTCCCACAAAGTGAATGGTGGGTCAACCCTCACTACATTTACCACGGTTGCATTACATTGTTAATATGGAAACAGAAATCGACAAAAGGGTTCCAGGCGGTTACATCAGTTTTGCACTCTACCAGCGATAATGATCATAGGAAATCAGCAGTTGTTTAGAGGTTTATCAACAATCCGTCCGACCTCAGCACAAGAAACATGGTAGGGTAACAGGCATGATTTATGGAACGCACCTCACTTAAATCCGTGCAAAGAGCATATAGATCAAGCAAAAGTTAATAAAATTAATATAAACGGCTTTCTAGATTACTGTTAGCTTTCGAACGCATTTATTCTTCCTTTGCTCTGATGTGAAAAATAACCGCAAGATACTGCGTACATGTGCTATTATTTACTGAAGTTTCTTTAAGTTGTCAAGCAATAAACGGCGAATACTTGACATTCGACGTTTGCTGCGCAAGGTGACTTCGTTGTTTCCCCATTTTACGGCATTTAGGCAAAAAGTTATGATACAGTCAGCGATGTTTGTACGGGCAAGCGCATAACTAAAACACTATGAAATGCGTCCTATGAATCTTGAGTCCCAAATCCGGCAATGATTCTCTTACAAATGCAGGAGAAAGAGTTTCTAACAGGAAACTTTCCCGTGTTACGTAATGCCATGGAAGCACTAAAGAAAAAGAGCTCCTTCCGTATTCTTCCGCTTTTTTAATCACAATGGCTTAGACCTAAACTAAGCACCCTTTGTCTCAGCAGATAGATTATTCCAAAGTACTCCAGAGTGTCGGTATTGTCCATCAAAGAGATCAATTGAATGAGCTTTTCCCTCCATAGAATAGATTGCTAAGTAAATGCAATTCTGGTCGCAATTATTAATTATTTTCCAAATATGATTCATAAACGCATTTAGGGTATCTTTGGGAGAGGAAGACATTGCAAGTGAATAATATATTTAATAATCAACATTGCCATATTTTTATAGCCACTTAAATTAAGTTCAAATGGCAGTAAATATTTTTATTCACGTAAAGTAACCGTTTTTTCGCCATAAATTGAAAAAGCATACATATCTGGCAGGATTCCGCCCGATTAAAGTGCTTGGAGGAAAAAAAATATGTGTGAATACAGGGCAAATACTCTGGAAATTCAACAGGACGGCTTAGTCAAAGTTGGTGCCAATGCCTGGGACACGCGACTTTGACGCTTTCATTAAGGGAACCGAACCGTGCACAAAACCTGCTGATGCAAGCTGATCAACCATTGGTCAACCGGCCTGAATGGCCTAATTGTATTTACTACATTGGATTCCCATTTACTGAATCTGAAGTAATTTTTTACGGTAAGATAAATATTGACAGAGAGGTGGGACTGATTGGTAAAATCACTTAGTCATCACTGAATCCATGTTGAGTGAAATTGGCCGCAATGTTGGCGGGATGGGCCATAAATTGCTCACTGGGACATCGATCACACCTCCTCAGGTGAGTGCATGGCCCTCAAAAGGGGGGAAGGGGTAAGGGAGCTTACAACTACCCGAGCCGAGTTGAGGGGACGGAGCCACGCTCACTCGAAAACATATCCCTCCAAGGGCCTTCCTTTATTACCTTCCCCAAGGGTAAATGCAGCAGATGAACCGGAGGAAATAGATAGGAGGAGTGAACGTGATCGCAAAGGTACGTGACATACGACAAACACTACACAAAGATTTCCTGCAGTGGTTTTCACTTGGCTAGTGTACACATCGAGAGTATGTTCAGAGCCATATTTTTCACCACCTCACTGGATACAGCGTTAGATTTTTCTGTTCTCGTTACACAACAAATTGACCCCGATAAACCCACTGAAAAAATGTTTACAAAAGTTCTACTTTTAATATTTAAGTAGGGGCACTAGCGTCATTAACACAAAATAGGTCCCACAGGACTCGCCGGCATCATTGCGCGTCACTGCGGTGCCCCATACTGTATCCTTCGTGAATTCTTTTTAGGTACAACAACTGCAGTCACATATTAAGGTGCCCATATAAACGAAAAACTACTTGGAAAATCTTATTAGGTTAATTGAATGAAACTAACATATTTCACTAAAGAAAATATGGGAGGGGCTTAGATCTAATCACAGGAGAAATCGAGAAGTAACATTGTGTTAAAACACGTAACCGACTTCGCCAATGCCCATCATTGATGTGCAAGGAATTTCCCCAAAGTTAGCAACCGCAGGCATTAAAAATGGGCCGTAAATCAAACACAATTCCCCATACAAACTGACAAGCCGTTATCAATAATCAGTGGTAAGAGGTATCAAAGCAACAGTCTACAAAGACCGAATAGTCCGTGTAATTAAGCCAAACACCAAAGCACAGCAGGAGTGCACAAAATAGAGGCAAACAAACGCAAGTGCAAGACCCAAGTCTACGTGGAAACACTCGACGCCGGTAAACGTTTAACGTCAGAGTGGCACACCACAACTCAATACAATGTTTAACTACGCCTCTAATTACGGCGAACATGCTAACCTAATAGGTCTCCTACACATCAGTAATGCATTTCCAATGCCACTATGCTTATCACGATTTCAGAGAGGACTCGGGACAACTATCCCTATCATAAGTATGGTCATTATGCTTAATGCCACAAAGAGGTACTTATTTCGCTGATACGTATCAATATGCGCCTATCAATCCCTGGAAATCACAAATTTGTACCTGAGATAGGTAATAGGGGAAGTTAACTTAATTGCTCCAGTAGATATGGTAAAGAATGGCAAATTTTTGTGATTAAAAAGAATAAAAGTTCTGATCTAAAAAGTACTGAGGGAAGGTTCTCAAAGAAATGAGAAGTAGCGAGACGCGGAAATATGTATATGTGCCACACCAAAAGAGTTCAGAAAAAGAGAACTGAAGATGTGAAGTAGTACTGATTGTATCGATAAATGATCAACTCGGATTCAACGAAGATTGATGAAACAAGTCACCTTATCTCAATTGCACAACTTAAGTCCGCACGCGCGGAAGTGTGTGGCTCCCACACATATGTATCACAAGGTTCACAGGGGAAAATAAGGTACAAGGTTGATGGAAAAGTACATCAAGTGAGACTATTCTCCATACTTCCCCAAAAGTAACCCCATAGGCGATCTGTAACGATCAGGGGCATTGGCGTCCAACAATCGCGTTACCTTATTCATCATATTCCTTTGACGAAGCAACGCATGCAGCATAATAACTACACAAAAAGACATTCAATAAATAGTATCGTACCAAGTGAAATAGAGGCCAAACAGAGAATAGTAGGGGTCATCATCGGCAGCATGTAGAGTAAGATGGCCGTACAAACAATAGCATATATTACTACGTTTGAAGGCCGAGAAGCAAAAGGCCACCAGCTGTCTAGGTTATTGCACAGCGCTACCGCGAATGTCAGAGTGCATGAGCCAACCAAGACACTAATAGGACTCAAAATTCTAAAATGAAACGTTAGTAAATTGTTGCGGCGACATACAGGTTTATTCCTATTAGAACAGCCGTTACCAGAAAATAATTGGTCTGATAATATAGCATATTTGATGTAAAACGCTCATTTACTGACTCCTTATCTGGTACACTATAACAGGAAAAAAGGAAATCATTCAACGACCTGAGCGGCGGAACACGCATTTTGAGAAATTGGCCAAAATCGGTTTAGGTCAAGTGCAGGCAATTACAGACTTGAAAATGAACCTGTTATGATCCACAGAAATATATTGCGAAGAATGAACAGTATTATGTGAACCCAATTTTTGGCATGCAATTCCCTTTTTTGTCTTATGATCGGTTGGCTTTAAGAGGAGATTTTAAGGTCATGAGCGTGACGTAAAATTAATCTTGTATTTCAACCTAGTGAAAACTTTAGCTTTGTACAAAACATTGTAGAATCAATAGAATCGTTCTTACTCCACCTCACCATAGCAAAAAGGACGTTGGTTACATTAACTATCAGTTGAAATACATTTTCATTTGTCACTAGGCTTATTTATTGAAGACCCATCACTTGATCGCCTAAATTTCGCATGATTTTTTGCGTTGTTTACACTTAGAACAGTTAACTTTACACAAAACGCATTGTAAAGCACTTACATGCTCACGTATGGGAGCGATAGTAGTAGCAAAAGCAAATTTGAGGCACTCCAATTAATTTTCGCAGGTCCTTACGTGCACATGTGTAGCGCCTCGAGTCAAAATAAGTTAAACTAGCATGGCAGGTCATATATTATTAACGGAGAGAAGGGTTGGGAAGTTACTAGCGTGGGCCAAGGGCCATGCTGCGAAGCGGAAGTACAACCCGCGGGGGCTCAATTATCTGCCAGATTCAAGGATGGGTAAAATATCAAATCATTACATTTATTAGTGCCTATTCGCATTGATTGATGTATGCGAAAGCATAAATAGGTAAAGTACTACGAAGACGGAATTGTGCCACTGCAACGAAAAAAAGTAGTTTAACATCAGAAAGATCGATTTAAGTAAGAAGACGTCAAATGCTTACAAAAAGTGGATTTACTTCCTCGGTAGTTGATGCTACGCAAGTCCTTTCTCTGGCCGGGCTGGACAGTATCAGAGGTGGTGCGATTGTGCTGTTGCGCATGTGATAACTAAAGCTACGGATGAAAGCATATTGTGAACGCCAAAAAAGCTGACCGACTGGCGTTTACGAATGCGTTAGGCCGCGTAATCTAGAGGGAATCACGATGGCCGAGCTTATTAACAGCAAATACAAGAATAGTGCTACTTGGATGCTTTATGCAAGGCATTATTACAACCGCCGATGCATAACACTAATTTAGATTACCTAGCCCCAACACATTTCTTTGTGATTTTAGCAAATACTGATTCCAGTTTCTTTGTCTTCATCACTGCTTTCTTTTTACCTGCCGTCATCACCTTCATTTTATGTTACATCTACGATCTCATCATCGGTGCACCATATTTATTTAATAAAGTACTTTTCAATTGCAAAACCGTCGCCATTACTTATGTGGAAAGATACGCTTTGCCAGATTAAAGGCGAGGAGAGTGCTTCTTTATAAAAATATCTCTGTTTTTAAGACGAGAAATTAGTAAGACAGCATGGAGTGGAAAATTTGGCACGAACGATTCAGAAACCAGCTGGTTGGGTTTGGTGCCCAGGCACTAATCGACCTAACATGCCGTCCCGCGTCACAAACCAGCTATCCCAAAGACACACTTGAAACCATCCCCATCGACAATTAAACAGTGGGAGACTTCGTCACCCATCACCCGTAGATGCACAGCGGAATTGTATTCCACTAACTCAGCTTTCGAGACATAAGTGGAACATGACCCACTCCAAACCTGGGAGCAGCGACAACTAGGACGACGCCCACTTTCACCACGGCTCGAGACGCACTAACATCTGGCCCTCCGGCACCGGCTCACCTAGACTATCACTATCCTCACCTGGGCGACGGTCGAGATCGTTTATCACTTTTTCTTGCCTGAAATAAACCACTTGGACTCCCAACTGACGCGAAAAAGCAGGTAAATTTTGACAACTACCTCAGGCGAAAAGTAGCCACTTATTGACAGACCAGACCTGCTGGCGGGCAAGAGGCGGAGAAAGGGGTAGAGCCTGATCAGCATGGGATTTAGCGTTCAAAAGTAAGAGCACGAATCGAAAGCGCAGCATGCAAGCAGCCGCCACCACATCTCATTTCTTAGCGAGACCCACCCCCACGATTCCTAGTTTGCCTCAAAGATGCATTAAAGTTCTTCAGGCTCTTCAACAGCTTCTTATCGCACACCGACTTACTCCGGTAAGAGAACATCTCACCCCAACAGTACACGGTAATGTAGGAGAGGATGAGTGTGCTTACGACCCCGCACACACAACTGTGAAACCTCTCGAACACTGAAAGACCAACCGAAAAGTGCAGTACACGAATCTAAAATGGCTGGAGCTTGATGTGGCAGAAACCGCGAACGGAGTCGGAAGGCTATCGCATCTGCCCAGCAAAGACACAAAATGTTTGAGTTGCAAAGTGAGAAACCAATTCCAAATCATGCAGGAACACCACAATTTCTTTTATTCGCAACAGCTTATGCGACAAGGGCTGAAGCCGTGGAGCTATCATATTTCCAATTAGGGGGAAGGACGCGTTTCCGCTTGTAGTAACGGACGATGCGATGAATACGGCTTTCCGTCAAAATAAGCCTATATTTCCCATCCTTGTCTTTGCGATTTCTATCCAAATGTTTCCGGATGGCAACAGCCTTCTTGATCAGGTGGTACAAGTCATCTGGAATGGCAGGAGCAAGACCTGCAGTCCTTAGTATACGGACGATCTTGCTACCAGCCAGCCAACGCACTTGGGCGACGCCATGACTATCACGAAGAATTACACCTAAGGTCGAGAATATGATGAGGAGAGAATACATACCGATCTGGGACGGAGTCAGACCCTTCCGTGCGAGTTTGTAAATTTGCTCCTTCACTTCTTCGGCGGTTAGCTTTTGCCAGGATGGAACGGAGCGCCTGTATGGCAAAGTACTTTGTGAGATACCCTTTCCGTGCCCGTAAACACGACCCATGAGCAACAACACAAAAAACGCGCGTCCGACGGAGGACCAAAGTGAGCGGACTTGGGTGGGTGGGAGACTTAAACAAAGTAGATTCAACGAATGTCGATTTTACGTATTATTTTTTAGTGACAAAGCATACGGATATGCAGATTCAACTATTAAAAGGCTTAGGTATATTTTATTTAGCTGCAAATTAAAGGTTTGTACAGTGTCACTGAGGATAATAATGTGGTTGGAATTAGTATTAATGTAAAAAGCCAAAAAAACCTTTCGTAGATACATCAGAAATAACACATAATGTGCTGTTTTTACTACAAACCAATAACAACAGTTATTGATCATATTTTACACTTTGGATCTGGAAGTATTGGTAATATGTTAGAAGACCGCAATTATGGGCACGTGTTCTAATAGAGATGGAAGAAAATAGAATATCTTAGTCCTAGTGTTATATTGTGGGTGAAAAAAGGCCTGAATTATTTTCATCAGAATGCAATAACTGGGTAGAATTCTGCGGAGCTTCGAGTCTTCCTTTAAGTCGTAACAAAACCAACTACTGCAAATAAGGCGCATCACTAACGCGCAGAAGGGCAAGAAGCTACTAAGGTGGACGAGAAGTCAAGTCGTGAGTCAAATGTACAATTAGTGCAGGCCCAAGGGTCTATGTAGTTAAACAAAATAGTGGATAATCACACTTCAGGCAGTATTTGTAGATTATTATTCCACTTAACTATCTAGTCTTTCAGTCATGCCCATAAAGTAGTACGTCCAGCATTTATCCCTTCCTCTCTGCCCTTCATATCCTCTCCAACGGAGAGGTCAATTTGAATGAGACGCGTTTATCACTTATACTTAACGAGAATAGATACATGTTTAAGGAGATCTAGTGGCTGAGCTCTACTCTGCTGCAGAGGATTATGACTACACTCCTATCACGAGGTGTGAGTTGACTGTTTGATTCCTCTTTTAAAAGGCGCTTTTAAAAATAAGCCTTACAACGATTTCAGGTCTTCTTTACGTCAATAATAAAAATTACTCCATAGTAGCATACATCCCGGTTGTATGTATGGGTCCCGGTTTTGGTGACTGATTACTTGGGAGCTCCGTCATTGCACCTCGATCAATCAGCCTGGCCCCCAGCCATGCCGGTAACCTCAACTCATTTTATTTCTTAATAATTAATATTCTGCCTTTGCGGCATGACTTCAGTCGTCTTTAGAGAAGTCTCGGGTCCCTACAAGTATCTCAAAAAAACTTCAGGGAAGACGCTAAGATCTGCTAAATACAATATAATGAACCAAGATAATACAGCAAATTGGTATTTAGCCTAATGATGTGATGGCTCATATGAGTGAGGGCCTGTCCTTCCTCAAGAAGGAGACAAATTCTTTGTCTTTTTATAAAACAGCAGTCACTCGTATAATCTCACAGAAGTAAGAAGGGGAAGAAATGATCATATTATAGAGATATTTTTTACGAAAACATTAAAAAGGAACGTGTAAATACAGATCTCCTATGTCTTAGTGACTTACCTAGCTATATTTAATAGGCCGGTAAAACGCGAGTGCCAAAAGTGGTTTATCTCTCGACATTGGTGAGGCACCACTTCTGTACTTTGAATTAGTCCCCTTGTACTTCGCTGGGTGGGCTAGCCTTGTAGGCCATGCCAATAGCCCAGACACCTTCTCTGCAATGAATACATATTCTGCCCAAGTATTTTGTCTTCTTTCGTCTTCAGGGAGTCCCGGGACGCTACACTAGCATTTATTAATGTACTTTAGCGGTACAAATTCCTATGTCCAAATGCACACACTGTAATTGGAGTCTTATTTGCTTTTGTGCAGTGTATTAACAAGAAGCTACCCATTTGCAAACTCATTGTCCATCCATTGCCCTTCGTTTTTAATGGTATTGTCAAATTGTTTCCTTCAGATTCACCAAATTTAAAAGGCCTTAAAGAAAAATAAGTTTGACGAGCTTTTGAATTTTCGTTGCAAAGGTTTTTGCATTTCCTTAATTGCATAGATACCCACTCAATGAATTGAGCTAGTAATCGACCATCCATTAATGGGTAATCCAAATTCAAACACAGAAGGCTTATTTTTAGACAAGTGGCGATTTTCACAATGCAGCGTTTAACATCAATTGAAAAAATTAATATTATTTTCCCACTAACACACTAATTAATCGGGATCATTTAATATTGAATATATTTTTATCCATTAGCTACATATGAGGCAGTCAGAAGGTCCAATTAATGCGCAAACTGTACAAATAGAGGCAAAGTCTTGTAAAGTAATGGAAAATTCTTTAAAATTTTATTCAAGGGCATTAATTTTAACGTTTATTATTTTAACTTTACTTGAATTAGCTGCGCCACTTTTGAGGGGGTATGATCCGTCTTGCGGATTATGTCGTGATCGTTGGATATGATTTCGACAAATCGAGTAAGTTTCATTGTGCTGCGCCTTATTTGACGTCATTTAATAAACGAGCTTTGCAAAAGGTCAACCCCCTATTTGCTGGGTGGTTTTCTGATGCTACTAAATTAGGTCGCTTTTCCTTCTACGTTATTTTGCTAATGGTTTACTTGCCTGTTATTCTCTTCAGCTTATTATGTATAAATTTTATAGTCTGACTAATATTGGATTGTGGTTGGTATCCTCCTTGTGCGCTTTTTATTTGGTATAATTTGGTAAACGTTCGGTGTTTAACTCATTCCCTATTCCTTTCATCGGTTAACTTTACGCATTTGTGACGTCAAAAGTTGTTGGCCAGTTGTATTTCTTATGTATTTTTTCTTCAATTCGCATAATTTACTTCCACTTGTAGTTGAATTTGAGAGTCAAGGTCGCGTGTTACAGCGATTTCCAACGAAAGAATGGAGTAATTATCCATATGAATTTCATGTAGAATCGGTACGTGGCTGGACTTCGTTCATATATCTTATAATTTGGATGTAGTTTGCAAGCTTTTTTTCAGCAGCTATGGTGCTTAGATTTATTGTAGCTTTTGAACAGATCCCCTGTATTGCAATCGCTCTTCAGAAGAAATGTCTGCAAACATACACCTTTACTAGTCCTCACAGGCAGCATTTGGTGGATGAAATAAAAGTGCAAGAATAACTTTTTATTAAATATGACACACCTGTAGTTTCTCAAAAGCTCTCAAATTTCCCAGTTTTGTCAGCCGTGTGGATGGCGACTAACGACAAACCGTCAGGCACCTACCTTCTTCGTTGCATATCTAACGGGGATAGATGGTAGCCGCTACTATGCCGCCTGTCTTACGTTCTACGAAGCTGTCTCAGGTCAACAACAACATATTATCCAACATCTTTCCCATGGTAATCGTAGTACTAACGCTACGGATGCGCACCACCACCAGACCGTCGCAGCTACTTCTTCCACTGGAAGTCTGAGCCATCTAAATAGTTGCGAGAGTCTGGCTGTGGTGTCTGGCAACTTCAATGGGGCGTCGGTGGATCCTAACCTCATCCGACCCACCGAACTCTTCGCTCCGAAATGCATCGTTCTTCTTGCCCGTCATCAGCATTTTAAAGTGCTTCAGGCACGTCGCTACACTATATGATTAGTTGTAATTCTTATTGTTGGAACTTCGGCTTGTGTCCTTTAATATGCTACATTCGGCACGTAAGATGTATTAAGCTGCTCGTAAAAACAAATAATTTTTTTTCCAGAATTGCTTAAGCATACTCTACACTACATTCATGGACAGCCCGAAGGAGTTTAACCTGGAGGAAATCATCGGAAACATTGTTGGGGGCATTGAAATACCACCTATCGGTGAGTAGTTAAGTGTTCTGTATATATTATCTTACGTGGTTGGTCTAGCTTTAGATTATTACTACTTTTCCAACGATTTTTTAATGTAATCGGTGAAACTGTGTGTAAGTATTCCCAGTATGTTTTATTTTTTTTTCATTAGCTTTTATCACAATCAGAATTTAATGCGACGTATCTTCCTCCGATACTAGCTTCCGTTCATTTAATGATTCTGCACATTTTTTTATCATGTAGTTTTTAGCGATGTCAACCACTAGGAGCAGCTTCATGGTGATTTTTGCCTTGTTAGCCTAGTAAACAGCAAATCCTGCTTGTTGGAACTGTGCCAATGCAATATTTTACGAATGGTTTTGTGTACACATCGTTTCCAGTTTTTGCGACTTCGTTTTGTTAAGTCTAATGAACGATCATGGAAGACAATTGTCATTTATGGGCGCGCATACTGCAATGCTAAACATGGCCTCGTAGCAAAAATGTTTTTAATCTCTTGATACGCTTTGCGCTTATTATGTCACCTAAATAGGGGAAGGTTGGCTTACTACAACTTGGTGTTGAGCGTCAATTTTTGCAAAGTTGAAATAATCGCGGGACCGGAAAGTTTTAGGTAGATCGTGTTTGAATACTTCCTTTTTCGAGTCTTCTGAACTTATTTTTTAACTGACACACCACATTGGAAACTCATCTCACCTTTATCTGTGAATCTCGCCTTAAACGTCTAATAGCCCTATTTTAAGGTTCCCGTTTTGTGTGGATCTGTTTACAGAGGCATTACAAGTGGAACTGTTCTAGTGTGTCAATGCAGCCAACCATGACACGTGTAGAACGTCCTTTAATTTACATTGTACAGCCTCTTCCATTGTATTTACACGGTGGATTTCTAGTTGGACAATGTAGCATCCTGGTGACAGTCACTTTGAGTGTCTTGAAGTTTTGAGAGGATTTCTTGTCTAGGTGATTCAGCGAATGCGGTCGTCAAGATTTAGAGCGTATTTTAAGATAGGTGTTGAAAATCCAAGCTTAATTCTGTAGTGCTCTTCCATTATTTGGTATTTTTTTGCTGTGCTAATTTTACGGAAACCTTTGCCGTCAAATGGTTAATTTATCATGTGTGCGTGCTATTGGAAAATTTCAAGATCTCGCTAGTTGTGGGAAGCATGATGAGAACTCACATTTTGCAAATCTAACCTAGCTTGGGGGAACGGGACTTAATTGCACCACTTCTCAATGCGGGGGATTTGTTTAAGTATCCAGTTTTTTCTAGCTTTTGCACCCTGCAGCATTAGAAAACCTAAATATATTAATTAATGTTCAGGGGGCCCTCGAAAGACTTTCACAGTGGGTGCCAACGACCGGCAAACTGTACAACCTGCCAAGTGTCAGACGATACCCGTCACACGTTCTTCCGTGGCCAATCTTTTCAAATACTTAGGTAAGACCGTTAGGCATATCTACAACGCTTCAGATCTGCATTCAACTAGGATACTTTGTAGTTTTCCTTGCAGGAGTAAAATATTGGGGTACAATACCGAGGTCTAATGCCAATTTACTGTATAAAACTTTGCGAAGGGCGAACTTGTTGCACTGACTGTTATTTTTTGGAAGTAATGCTAGTTTTACCTTCTAGATGTTCTCTTCTACATTGGCACCATGCATTCCTCTTTGTCCCTTCAATAAGTTGTAATTTTATTTTAAAAATTTGAGCAGTGCTATTGGGATTGCTTTCATTGCTTGCCCTGCTCTTACGTTGATTTTCGGCTCGGAAAACCGTCACAAAACGTGTTTTTTGACTGATAGGTCATGTTTAGCCCTTCTCTATGTGCTCGTGTCTCAAGTGAGGGTATTTCTCCCTCTCTATTGCTCGGTTTTCGTAGTTACCCTAGTATCCCGTCTAATGGGAAGGTAGCCATATACGAACGGTCAGGACTACTAGCTAAAGCCGATTATTTTTAACAGTTACCTCACTTTTTATTAGTTTTCATTTTATTACTTTTATGGTGTGTGAGAAATTACATGGATCCGTCTTTTGTTTACTTGCCATTATTGATAATACCAGCTGGTTTGCTGAATAGACGAAATTTGACAAGTATATTTTGCTGTCAATAAATTGAATATGCAGCTGACTCACTACTCCACTCAATGGCTAGAGTGCTAGAGTCATGCCTTTTGAATACTAGCTCTGCCCTTTTGTCAAAGTTGATGTCCCACGCGCTGCTGCAATCGGGAAATTCAGTTTACATATAAACATCCGCACGATCACAACTGCCTCGCGGGACTTGTGAACTTTTTGGCACATCTTTATTATCCTTATCTTAAATTATCTGGATTCTCGTGTTCACGCGTTCCGTGTGTGGGTTCGCGCACACAGTCGTCCAGGTACTCCACATACACGCCATGACGTAATAATTAAATTGCATTAACGGATTTTTTTGCCATTGGTCGAACGGTCTTGCCGAATGTAGCTACTGTACAATCACCAATCCCGTAAGCCTGATTCATTTATTCAGTCGATTCGGATTTACTAAGGGCTGTCTGCTAGCGATGCATCCAAGAGGCACGTAGTCCATAGTGGCACGGACAGCATCTCTTCAACGGATGCATCCTCTTGTCACACGAACTTTCCACATCCGCCTGACTCACTGTTTCTCGTGAATCGTGCCACTTGGCGTCGGTCGCAACAGCTATTCAAATTTCATCCATCCCATCTTTACGGCATTATCTGGAGATCAGATCCTGTCGATTACTTTTGTACTGTAGCACGCATTTCTCCTATCTTGTTACATCGGCTTGTGGCTTCCTTCGACTCATAGTTGCCAACTTTGGTGGTAGGTGGTTTTTTACGCGTTGGGGCCCCCTTAATTTTTAGACTTGTGATAGCATTGCTTTCTGTCAATCACACACACACACACACACATTCGTGTTTACGTGCACTGGTAATGACTTAATTTTTTCACTGACAAACTCTTGAGGTCTTTACGAAGGTGGTCTTTTCGATTTGGGTGACCGTATCTTCGGTAAAATAGGAATATAGTTTTAGTATTTAAATAGATCATTGGAAATAGTTTTCTTCTGAGGCAAAAACATCTTGCTTGAGCCGAGCTTGTGTGTATCATCGGCAAAATTTGTGGCGAAGCCAAGCATTTCCATTCATCTCGACATGCACCTAATCCGTAGTGGTTAAATGTCATGACAGGGTTTTCGTTCCTTTCGTTCTTTTGCTGAGCCGTTCTCCACATCTATTTCTCCTGGCCTTGATGTGAACCCACGGAGAGTATTTTACCCAGTTGTCTTTCACAGTTTAAGGTAACCTACTGTCATCGTGGTTTTCGCTTCGCACTAGTGACTTATTATGAGGATACCAGGTTTACCAAAATAGGAACGAGTATTCTCCAAAATGCAATGAAGCGTGGTTATTATTTCCTGACCGGCAATGCTTTGTAGTTTTTGCTTCAAAGCATTGTTCAAATTCAACGTTCAGTATTTCTCCTACCTACAAAATTTATCCAACTCCGAAGAGATCACGGCTGTGAGATGCAGTGCTGATGATTACTTCTTTTTTCTAGGCATTGATAATGTGTTGCTGATGTTCACGGCGATGCTAAGTGACCAAAAGTTGTTGGTCTGCTCCCAAAGCTTGGTCCGTCTTACCGAGGCCTGTCACGCTCTCACATCGATTATCTACCCACTAAAATACGGGTGAGTTTGCATTCTAGCACTTCCATCACGCGTATGAGGGCCAACAGCTTGCTTGTTATTTAGACACGTGTTGTTTAATACAACAACACGCCCCAGTCTTGGGTTGTTTGTCCCCTGCTGACGAGTAACTGGTTGCTCCCGGCCTCCTGCTGGCATATGTGCACAGGATGCCGTGTGCAACGTCACCACTCTTACTATTGCCTCACAGGATAAGACCCTTGACTGCCAGGGAAGTAAAAACCGAACAACGTCCTACTTTTTGCATCACAACGAAGCGCATTCCGGGTATCACTTCTGAAATCTTTCCCTAATCCCATCAAAAAAATCTTGAACAGCATTGACAAACGTTGCAATTCATTTATATGCGATAATATTCATGTTTTTAGTTTTAATTCGGCGTTTTTTATTTTCGTTGACGGCATTTTTTAAGTAAACTGAATGGCGGTTTTAACTAAGTATCTGTGGAGGACGTAAAATCTCCCTTGGTAATGCAAAAACGATTAAAAGGTGTTTAGCAGGAATGCTTTTTTCATTCCTCTCCCCATTACCAGGGGGTCATTATTACTGGCATACTTTGAACCAACGTTATTTTATCACAGCAACACTTATGTTCCCATTCTACCGAGAGGCCTGCTGGATTATCTGAGTGCTCCAACGCCCTTCCTTTACGGCATCCACGCGTCCTACCGTCATCTTCTTCCCGATATTGTAAGTGATTCGTATACGTACGTCCTTAATGTTGTGTTGTAGGGGTAAATGCCGTGTTTAGGCGCTAAGGGTAGATTAGAATTAGCTTAAATGCAGGATCTTTACTGCAGCACGCCCTGTACTAGACGGAGGGCTTTTTAGTCAGTTAAATTAATATTTTTAAAACCACTCAACTCTTTTTTTCATCGATTGTTTTAAGGATGAATAAGTCCCCGATTTCGGATTATGGCGTTAAATTGTGATGTAGATTTTTTGATATTTGATTATTATTGTGGCGAAATCTAACAACAGTCTTATGTATTGAACCAAACTGTTCGTATCAGGATTCATTCAGCTCTAGTTCCCTGTTCGCCTTGTTACACACAGCTTACTTCTGGTTGGGTTTTAACAGGTACGTCATTGTGCAGTTATTGTCTTTCCCACAGCCGGATGTATTCATAGCAGATCTCGATGTCGGACGTGTTATTTGCCCAGAGAATATCCCTCTTCCCCAGATTCCTCAACCCTTCCTCACCGAGGCAATACAAAGCCTCTTCCATGTAAGGAGTTCCCTAATTACATTCCTCTTTTTAACTATTGAGCCGCCCATTTCGCTTTGTTTGTACCCAATCTGTTTAGCCTATAGGCCTGTAGATTTTTAAAACCTTGTCGAACTAGAGGGTTTTATTAGTGGTGGCGTCATACGTCTAGATATTGAGTCCCGACCTATTGATCTCTGACAACGTCTACCCTCCTCCACCGGAGACTGTACCCCAACTGACTCCCGAGCAGATCGACAAGAAACTGCGTGCCGTATTCCTACATCTATTCGCATCCATCTTCGTTGGTTATCGCTCCTGCCTCACCATCACTCGCATTCATCCACAGCCCGTCATCCACTTCAACCGGGTGAGCACATCATAATCTTCCCATCCTCTTCGAGCACATTTGCCCTCGCAAATAATCCAGTCATTGCTTCTATATGCTTTACACACCCTAAGTAGGGGTAAAAGTTGGTTTTTATCATATCTACAGTAACTAGTTACGAACAAAACAAATCTATTTTCTACTTAATTTGCTAACATGGGTTCGTTCAGTCATTTATGATATATTTTTCACAAATAACGTTAAATTTCGTTGTATTTTGTACATATTAGTACTTCATTACCATTATTTTGTTTTAAGTGCGACGGATCGCCCACGTAGTTGTGGATCCACTGCGATTTCTCTAGGTTATTGTGAATAGTAAGAAGTTTATCAAAGTGAAATTGAGCTGGGAACTTAAGCATTTGTGCATATGTTGTCTGCAGTCGCTGTTTCTGGTGTTGCGAGGCGTGCACGAGCCGGACGACTTTTTCGACCGTCTTCTCTCTAGCATGCGCTTCCACCGGTTTGTGCTGGAGCGTGGTCCACCATTTCGGGTGTGCGACCTCTTTGACGAGGCGTATGATGTGGCGCGCACCAAGGCGCAACCTCTCGTGCCTCAATTCGTTGCCGACGTTTCCTTCCCCGACATGGATTACGAAGCCTTCCTCACCGATTTCACCCTCTCTCTTGATCGTATCGCTCAAAAATTCATGGAAAATGTACGTTCTACCCTCCCAGCTTTTTTAGTATGTTCTCTACCAGCGTCACGTACATGTGTGATACCCCCAATTTTTCTTGCATGAGCCTAGCATTGCACATGCGTGACTTGTGTTTACAATAACTACTTGTACTAAATGGTGTCACAAATAGATTGATTAACTTTTAAAAAATGAAACTGTTGTATGACATTCTTGATATGCGAATAATTGTTTTGATTTTTTGAATAGCATTTGAATAGGCGCTTTCAGTAAAGTGAGTGTTGAAGCCATGTTAGAACAATAGTACATCTGGGTTGTGGTAGTCTATTTTCTTCTGAGGCCCTAATAGTCGACAGTGGGTGTTCTAAGGATTGGAATTTGAAGCGATTAGTGTACACACAAACAAAACATGAATTTGATTTGGTATCATTGTTTAATCTAGTGTTTCCACTTATTATTATTTGCTTACCTATTAAACATAACTACTGAAATGCATTCTTTTGCCTCAAATCTATTCGTTGATTGATGGTGACCATAAGTTTCCTTTTACATTGTTATGTTTCAATTTTCATACATGGCTCCACTTGCCTGGTCCAAGGTATTGCATTATAAATTGTCTAGGTGTGTCCTGGTCACCGCTACCCATACCTCTGCGTTTTTGGATATATGATCTAGAATGAATAGTAACCAGCATTTGCCACGGATTTATCTAGCTGAAGCTCTTTTTGCCTTTTTCGAGCACAGACATGCGGTGACACTTGCAGATGGACGGCTGTATGCTTAAGTGCTTATTAAATGTGGTGTAATGCTTTTCCCACTTTTCCCTCACATCCTGTTCGTCTGACGGTGAAGAATTTCTCTGTCGGGAATGCTTTGGTTCCTCTATTGCGATGTGAAAGCTCTTTTTTGCGCGTGATGAGAGTCGGTTTCAGAAAACACTACTAGTACACTCACATCTCCCCTGTGGCCTCAATTATGTTTATATCGTTTAAATAATTACTATTTTAGGGCTTTTTCATTTTCATGCTAGTAGTATTTAATTACATAGTGGTTGAATTCAACAATTTTATGCTGTTACAATTTTTAATTCCTGTGAACACTTGTGGTTGTGCAGTTTGGATTTGAATAAGGAAATATGTAACGTGTATCTGTTTATGGTGCTTAAACTATAATCACTGACCGCTTGTGTTATCTGATGGGTTTTAACTATGTTGAATTGGTAATACCATTTTAACTGTTAGCAGTGGAGTCGGAGTAGTTTCAAACGGTGAGCACCAATAAACTATCTCCTTATGAACCGTATTCCATTTACCCTGCGTACACTCCATCAAGTCAAACCAGTCTGCTTCAGTGTGTGTGGATGCATTTGCATGTATGTGGTGGGCTATTCGAATAACCTTACATGTTTTTCGGATTTGTTCATTGAAGTTGACTACATTGTGCATTTCCCTTATACATAGGAGCACGACGAGGGCCATCAAATTGTTGACGTAATTCAGGCAGAGGCAGTAGAAGCGCACAATCGTCTTCACCACCGCCCCTTCCCTCGACTTAACGCCCAAAAAGTAGACGAGTTTGTACAGGTGGCTCAGGAGCTGCGTAGCCAATCGTGAGTTCCATTTCCAAAAACGAATATCTTACCAAATACTTCCACAGATAGGTCTTGTCTTCTGGAATAAACTTTAATGCCATAGCTTGCATTTTACCTATCATTGAAATTGTTGAATTCGTACAATTAGATTCTACCAGACAGTATTTCTTTCGTTTGTATAGCAACTAATTGGGCTATGATGTACTTATTAGTTAAAACTTGCGCGAGGTAGTTTGTCTATCTAACACTTTTGTCATTTACCATTTTTGGTATGGTATAAAAAGCATGGCAATCATGTAAACCAGTTTGGCAGTCAATAAACACATAATCGAGGTTGTTGTTTTATCTGCTATGCTTGCAGAATTCTTTTACTTTTCTAACAATTCAGTAAATAAAGTAAACTTATCAATAACCAATACTTTTAATCCTCCTTTGAACGGACATGAATATTTTACAATCTTTGTGTCAGTAAAAATATATTGGCTGTATTTTAGCAACTCTCCACTGTAATAAAAAAGAATAGATTTTACTGCTGAAGCTGTGATATTAATTGAATTTTGACGCACAACACCGCCTTATTCCTTGACTTCTCATTTGCATGAAAATTTGTTTTTAGAACCTTTTCGCCTCCTCGTGCGTTTCATTAAGATATTTACAAGCAAGTTGTCTGCTTTATCTTGGCATTCTTTCAAGTTGTGTTTGCGCTTTATCCAGAGTGCCACTGACCATGGAGGTGGAGGAAAAGCCTCGCATTGTGCCCAAAGGTGAGCAGTTGGACCGTAACGCGTTCAAATCAGAGCTGCCCTCGGACAAATGCCGTGTTATCCGTGAATTTGTCGCTGACATCTTCGATTTGCACATCACCGAGGCTCTCAAGGTGTCTCCTTATTTCATGACCTCCTTCATCATCCCTGATTTAATAGTTCCTCATTACCACTTTAGAGTGCCATCCGTGCTCTGTAGATCAGTGTCTATGTTTCGACTGCAGTTATGTGCGTTTTCGTAGTACACCGATTTGGATAACAAATTATACAATATTATCGTGGTATATGTTGCTCTTCATATTCTTTATTTTATCTTTCATTGACTATGACCCTTTGTTTAGATGTTAAAAATAACTATTTGTTTCCGAATCATCCCTTTTGTGCTCACTGATACGTTACATCCTTGAGTCGATCTTTTCTCACATTTTTTTAACAATTAATGTCTCAGCGTTCAAATATCTTCGACCTTTGATGTCTTTATGCATTCCTCATAAGTGCAGATGTCGTAAGTCCCGACTGCATTTGGAATTATTTTATGCAATCAGCAATATGGTTTTCTTTGAAGATCTCAAGCATCACTTACAAGTTGTGTTTGCAAATAATAAAGCCTGTTGCATGCCTTTTCAGCGTCGTAACACTATTCGACAGAACTTGAAGTCACAGCCCTTTCGACGCCTCTTTGTGGATGAGCTGTGCAAGAGAATCATTCCACCCATGGCCTCTTCTGAAAGTCTCAACTCCACCTTTCCCGAAGCCGTGACTGTGGAGTTCGAGCGTCGAGCCTCACTCAACTGGGAGCAGTTTGATGTCATCGTGGGACTCCTTGATGAGGCCTTGCGCTACGAGGGGATGTCCTACAACACCGTTATAGCTCCTCCTGTTTTGGAACTTACTACCAGAATCAGTACTGTAGGCACTGGTTTTGCTTTTTAAAACATATATGCAAGCTAACTTTAGGCTAATAAGAGTTGAACCCTCTGCTATTTTACTGGCAAGCAAGCCAAGTCATTAGCCGACTACCTGTGGAATTTCGATGTTCATGAGCTCTAATTGCTGAATGGCACATGAAGCAGTAGATGTCCGTTATCGGTCTGGCAGTATTGATGGGGTCATACTTTGACTTAAGAGCATGACTCTTCCCTTCATAATTTTATTTCCATATTTCCATAATTTGCATTTAATCGATTCAATGAATCTAGATGTTAGACACGCCTTTCATAGTGCCATTTTTGACTCAATATCGTTGGAGGTTGTTGTTGATGTACACGCACGCATTTTATTGGCGCTAGCACCCGTTTATTTGCTAAGTAACCTTGTTAATCGCGCGAAATTTTGCCTTCGAAGTACTTTTCTATGGTCTGGTCATTATGAAGCATGGTCGATTTCCTCGTATGGACTCACAGAAACTGCTGTAGTCAATTACTGGACCCACCGGATCTCTAACCTCATGCCACATTGGGCCAAATTGTGGGGTGAAGCTGTACTATTTTACCCCATAATGAGTGAGGGTAATTTACTCTGTCTGCCGTCCCTATTGCAGCAACTCGGCGGGATGCGTTATTTTGCCAACATGACGCATCACATACAGCGTCACAGGATCTGGTCGGAAATGAGTTTCTGGGAGGATGTCTTCAACGAGCAAGTGAACAACCAAATCAAGCAGCTCTATTTGCATCAATCCGAGGAGGAGCGCAAAAGCGGTATTCCCTCTGCTGATCTCCCGGTAAATTTTATCTCTATTCTTGGTGTTACTGCCCTTACTAAACTACTTCGTAGGCAAAAGCCCTTGTGAATCATATATGTGTGATCTGTGTACTTCTACTACATAGTCATATGCATATTTTACATTGTTATCATACCATGGAGTGGTTCTGTTGATGCAATCACAGTGCCTTTTAGCTCACAAGCCGTCAAACAGTTATATTCCCGAATATTTTATGTTGCCAACACGTGACTACCGATGCCTCTACGCAATTGTGTCATTTTCGAAAACTTAATAGCAGTAAAATAACATTGTGAGTCGGACTTAGTGAATGCACGACGAACTTGCGACCTTGCACCATACGTCTGCCAATTCTTATTGAATCTGCTTGTGCGCGCTGTTTTGAAGGCTAATTTATTTGATCTTTGGGGGAAAAGGCCTTTGCAAACAAATCACACAATTAAACATTGTCAACAGGATTTCTGCGTATGCTTTCGAGACTTCAAACCTATTCTTTTTTGTGGCGCTTAAGGATTTTACTTCTGACATAACAATAGGATTTTATCGTCCAAAAAGAAGCATTTATGTGCTATTTGCTTTATTTACAGATTGTCTACTCATTGACGGATTGATTCTTAAGGGGTACAGCGGTATATGCAAGTAATATTTTACTAGAAAAGATAGCTGGCGATAGAAGGAAGGGTTGTGAATATCGCTGCATGAATACACAGAGTGATAGATATTGCCCTCTTTTTTTCTGCGAAGACAATTTACTCGTCTGACCAGTCGGTGCTGGAGATAGCGGCGGAGGAGCTGCGCTCGGGCAGTCTGCGCTCGGCAGAGTTGCAGGCGAGTCTGCAGCAACAGGAGGAGGGCACGGTGTACGCGCAGATCCTCCATTTCATAAATCTCATTGCCAACTTCCGTGTTCCTCTGAACGCTGCCGCACCCCTCATTCCTAGCACTGATCAGTTCGGTGGCGTCACCTCTGCTCCCGCTTCCTCGCAGGTGGCCTCCGTCTCCGGTGTTCTGCCTGCCGGCGGCGCTCAACAGTACCAGCGTGGGCTGCCAAATGGCTGGCCTGCGGGCACCCCCAGCCCAATCAATTACCCCCACGACAGGCGTGATTTGTCCTTCACCAGGTGAGGATGTCCTCCTTTCATGCATTAGCACATTTGCTCCCTACGATGTAGTCTTGATTGCACCGCAGTTAAGGCAGCATTTTAGTCTCCTATGTTATCCATTTTTGTAAAAATGGGGTCACTTTCATCCCTCTGTCTTAGTATGTGATTGATGCGCTGGCATTTTACTTAACCGTCAACTGCTCATGAATAAAGAGGCGCAACCTTCGGACCGCAAGTAAACAGGTCTTCATCAGCTCAAAGCATTGCTTTTCTTGTACTCGGGCACAATAAAGCCCAAGGCTGTTTAGACGGAGTAGTAGTTAGGCCCATCGTTCCCATTCGTCACCACAATACTTGTGAGTATAATTAGATTTTTCGTGCGTGGTTTTTTTGTTCTGTTGTTCATGTTACATCCTAAGGTTTTAAGGCTACCCTTTAGTGTGCACGCCTGGTCGCTTTCTTTTACTGCATGCATGGACTGCTTTTACTAACCTTTGTATATACCTCAATCGCCCACTAGTTTTTTAGGTGGAAAGTAGAAGAGCGATGCACGTGTTTAGAAGCATTGCAATCGAATTTTGGAGGAGAGATCTGCTTGCCATCTACCGGATACTTTTTAGACTCTTTTCTTTTCTAGTGCATGAATGGCCGGGCTTCCAAGTCTCAAAGGTTAAACAGTTAATTATAGAGCCAAACTATACAAACTATCCAATAACCATTTAATGGTCCTGTTTATTTTATTCCACTATTCGTATATTTTCAATTCGGGGATTTTAGCATATCAAAGACATTTTTAAAAATACTTCGAAATGAGAAAACCATTTCTCGGGGTGTTGATACCTTATTTAATAGTGTTAAATTTTTTTATGCTCCATCAAAGCACGTTACTATTTTTTTTGCTGCTAGTGCTTTTACTTCGGTTACGAAATGAATTCTTCTTTCCAGTTTTTTTTTCAAAGTATTTGTTGTGGGTATGATGTGGGCTTTGGTGTTGCGAATAGTTGCAAGCTGGTATCACGCAACGCCGAAATTTCACGCCAAGGTGTTGGCTCATCACCGCTGGTGAGTTGATGCGCCTCCTGAGAATTTCGTCTCCAAATAGAGTTCTTTAATTAGCTTCAGTGATCTCAACCATTTCTCACTTTTTTGTACAGTCTCCTTAAAAGGAGATTTTCGAGCCAATCTGCCATCTTTGAGTGACGGGATCATAATTTGTGGTAATTCATTCATAAACCCCTGCTTTTTTTGGACAGCACGAAATTGGATGTAAACAATCGACTGATAGGATTTTTATCGCTTTTGTTCACACACCCACGACAACATGGGTCTAAATTAAGCTTAGTATTTTATTGTTAAACATTGACTTTTTAGCACCTAGTTCCTTATTGTGGAGTGATTGAATGGGTGGATGTGTGCCCATGAGAGTCGAAAGCCTTGTTTGGTGTTTCCACGTTTGCGCATTAAAGTTGCACATCATATAACTTCGGCGGTTAACTTTTTAGCACATTGCTATCGTCGAATCACAATGAGCGTAGATCCGTTTCCCATGGTGGCAGTAGCAGTGGTGTCGGAGGTGGAGGACTGGGTCAGCACCACGGCCACCACGTCTCGTCCATTCCTCCTGGAGGAGGTGGGACGTCATCGTCGTCATTGTCGCGAGACGCTGTTCCCACCTCTGACGTTGTTCTCGGCGAATTGGCAGAGTGGATCTGTAAATTTGTTGAAAAGGTCGGCGCCGAAAATGCCCTCCCGGAGGCCAGCATTATTCAGATTAAAAACAAAGTAGACAGTATGTTTTCCCCTTGTTCTTAACTGGTCTGAATGACCTACGATCAGTATTGGCTAAAGTAGTTACTCTCGTCACTCGTCGGAGATTTAATGAAAATACATCGATAAAGCTGTTTAAGCGTATGCATTAGCAGTCATTCGTAACGCATGACGAGTACATAAATGACCGATTCGATTTTTAATTTAATGTGTACTTGAGTCCTTCTTTGTCTTCCCTACGAAACATTTCAATGATATAATAACATTTAAAACAAAAATTTTCTCTTTAAGGTATTTTGGAAGGTCATTTACTTAACCTGGCGGATATCTATCCCGAGGTGAAGAAAATTCCAAAAATTAAAAAGGTAACGCTAGTCTTAACGCGATATCAATTTATTTGTACCAGAAAGCTATCCATACCTCATCACAATAGCATACTATAGTGGTGAAGATTGTTGGCCTTGCTCTTTTTAACCCAGCATGATAAATCCCTGTCGAATTTATTGTCCAAGCTTTCCCCAAGTTGTTTTTGCGAGAAAGTGTTTGATTAGTTGAGGCACGTTCCCGGCCTCCATTGAACTTGAATAATTGCATTGTAGCCGGAGATAGCGAACCCGGCGCTTCTCGCGGATGAGAGCATAATTCGGCTAGCGGGTCTGGATCGGCTGCCCTGTCAGTTGCTCATTGACGGCCGAATGGAGCGAGTTGGCGACAGCGGCGGCAGTGGTGGTGCTGGCGGAGGCGACTGGAGTCGGTCAGAGCAGATGGTCTTCTTTGATGCTAATAACGCTAACGTGGTGGCGCCTTCCTCACATGAGATCTTCAACGAGGAGGTGGACAGTGTCATTCGTACCCTACTACCCGCTCAAGGGGCCCTCTTCGTTACTAACTACCGCGTCATATTCATTGGCGTGCCAAAGGATCCCTTCCGTATGTGCTTCGCCGTTGACCGGAGATACAGACTTGGATTTTTAATGATCCTGATTTTTTAACTGTATGAAAAACATTAATTTTGATTATCGTCTGTTTTTCTGTAGTTTGAGACAATAGACTCTAAATAACAGCCTTAGCTGTGCTCTATCTACTATTCTTTGCAACTACTTGATTTCACCGAGAATCCCTTTCATGAAAAACGTTGGAGCTCAAATAAACTCAGAGGCCCATGATGTCACGAAAATGTATATCGTTCAGACAAAAGTGGTTTTTCCGTTTGCAAAATTTATTAGTTTTCACATCGTTGCGTAACAAATAAGACTTTTTTAATCAAGAAGTTTTTAGAACCGAGCTGTATATTTTTCTGCATTTCGATTTATTGTTATCAAACTACGTCGACGCGTCCTTTTGACCATCAAATATAAGCACTTACTTTATCATATTTTATTTATCATATTTATCATATTATCATATTTTATCATATCATATTATCATATTTTATCATATATCATATTATCATATTATCATATTTAAGCTATTTCTGTTCTTGACATCTATCAATCAGGGTGGTCAATCAAATTAAGAAAAAATTGATTGCTAGTGCTGCTTCACATTTGCCCGTATTTGCCTGTTGAGACGGTCGGCAAACATTAGCGTTCTGCTCATGTTTCAAACTAAAAGTTTCATTTTAGAGACTCATGCGCAGTGGATATCAATAGGTTGGACACGTAAGGGTTGGTTTTTAGTCTATGCATTAGGACTATTGGAGCAATTTCTGTACCATTGTGTTCATGTAGAGTCGAACAAAGTGGTGTGCCGCAGTTTCCCTGTCGCTGCACTGCACTCGATTAAACGGATGGGTAGCACACGGGTGGTGACCACCATCCCCGTGGCACCTACAATTGCAACATCTCTCGAAATGGGCGCTGGCGGTGGTAGCAGTGGTAAAAAACAACACCGGAAGCTGCGTGTTGGCGGCGTCTCGTCTTCTTCTTCTTCTTCCACAGAGACATTGGACATCTATCGCCTGCGTGCGCTCACAATGCAGATGATGCGCCTCGGCTTCGACCCTGATGAGGTACCTTCTGAGGCACGTGACGATTTGCGACACCTCCTTGTCGAACTGCGCTTCCACGCCATCATTGGACTCAGCTTCAACTCTCCGAACTCTCGAGCATCCCAGGCATTGTTTGCCTCAGAAAATGCTAATGGGTATGTTCTTTGTAAAAAACGCTTATTTTCATGCACGTTTGGCTTTTTAAAGGCTTGTCAAACAAATCTATTTTGTGCAAATGTTTTTACTATTGGCGTTTACACCTTAGTTTTGCATAATTATTTCATTAACTTTTTCATACGGTGGCTTGGAATTCTTCATTATCTCGTTTTTACTTGAATGGCCCTGGATCGTTGGCTCATTTTGTTCGGCACGGCATTCGATACGCGCTCTTCTGCTTACGTGATGACATTCACACAGCTCCATTCCCCCATATGGAATGAGATCACACCGCGTTATTTCACTTAGTTTATGCCAGGAACGTTCATGTCTGACTAAGCAGAGCTTTTTGGATCGTATGAGTTTGACTATGTGGTCGATTTTCTGCATTCCTTTAAATTTTATCGCGTACCTTCTCTAAGTTCCCCTTCTAGAGCGCTCTGTTTTGCTTTTCTCAAAACTGGTTCCATAAACCGCTTCGACTTAATCTGTAATTAGGGTCATTTTCTCTTAATCTTATGATTTTTTCTTAATTATTTGATAATAGAACGTTGCATCAAATGCGATAGAAATTAAAGTATTTTTTCTGTCGTTTAGGTCATTGTTTATAAAGCGATTTCCTCTTTGATGTTGTGGTTTTTTTTTTCAGAAACCGATCTGGATATGCTTAATAAATATCGCGTGCTTTGAACATGAGCTATTACATGGAAACGTTTGCGCTTCGGTCTTGATTAGGGTTACTGATAAAGCTATTTTAAATAATTTGTCATCGGTATGGACTAGTTAGAAAATTGCTTAGGAAGGAACCTAGAGAAAGGTGCAAATGAAAGATATGCATAAAACCACTGTATTTACCCCGTTTGGACTTTGGGGGGGGAGAGGAAAGGGAAGAACGAATGAATTGCAAAAAGCAGCAAACTAGGTGTTGATAATTGTTACGTGGTTTATCTCTTGAAGGTACCGATCACCATTGCCTAGACCGGCATCGGATCGGCCAATGAGCCAGCAGTCGCAAGAAATGGATGGTGGTTTGGGATTGGTGCAATCGAAGCAGGGCGATGGTGACGACTCGGTGATTCTGTCCATTGTGAGCAGCAGTCGGAGCGGGCGCAGCAGTCGCAGTCAATCACAGACCGCCAGCACCATGCAAGCTGCCCTCACGCAGGCGACCGGTCCACGCCTTCGCGGTCTCTCCGTGGTGCGCTCTGTCATCGATACCGCCACCTATCGGCTCTCTGACACCGACTCCCTCGAAGCGACCCCCACTGGACTCTCGGACGACTCTTTACGAGGTTGTTCTGTCCTTTCCTCTCCAAAATTCCTCGGTATTTTATGTACCGTCCCCGCATTACCATATTACACATTTGAGAATAGTTTTGAAAACACAGGATGCATGCCTGGCTATAGAGAAACGGCCTCAACGGCGACATAATGCAGTTAACTACATTCTAACGCTACGTTGTATTTCAATGCGGGAATTTATGCCTTTTACATGGATCGGTCTTATTTCGGCATTGTGATAGACCATATCATTTCTTGTATTTAACGTTGACCACTGTGCTGAAACCATATTCAGGATAGGCGCTCAGGCAGCGCAAATAATTTTTTAATCAAGGTTCTCAACTTTATCATTAGCAACCTTTTAGGTGAAATGCATTGATAGATTCACTTATGCAATGAAGCTGGTAGCAGAATGTAATCCTATGACAGTTATATATTGCATGGCAATCGCCCTTCGCAAAACCTCCAACCCAAATGTGAAATTCATTCAAATGAGGTATTTGATGAAGGGGCGGTTTTAAGCGTTTTTGTTTCGTTTGTGTTCTCGTCTTTTAATTGTTTGCCATTATACTATTCGTTTGGGTTGCGATGATCTTAGAATGTGAGAGGCAGAGCCCACTCAACACTTCAGTTCAATTGCTGTGTTGGGTTACCACTTACGCATAAGTCTATTTACTGTTTTGTCTCAAGTGGGCGAATTTACGGACGCAAAGTCACTACTTTCCATGACTCTGGCGAGTCTACGGTTGGCGGGCTTGAATCCGGCAATATCGGAGGTGCTGCAGCATTCGCCGGGCTACCTGGACATGGCCAAAGTGGCTCTCCACTCCACCGACTACTGCAAGCATCCCTCCTCTACCAGTCCCCTCTCCTCCATCCATTCGGGCTGTGCTAGTGCCTCCAACTCCCAGCATAAGCCTCAACAGCCACTCTACTCGCCTGTCATCACTCTGGCCAACGCGAACTACGCCATTACGCGCACATATCCCTCTCTTCTCATTGTCCCCGCTGTAGGTCTCTCCTCAACCACTATAGTGTCGATGTTCAACACTTTTTGTTTTCCCGGGAACTTGTAATTACCTATCAATTTAAATGTTTCACAAAATGACGCAGTCTACCTAAAAATTCTTAAAACCTTTCACGATATATGGCCTTAAAATTGGGTGAAGACTACCTTTGAGTTGATCGATTCCTTTGACACGGTGTTTTTGGATCATGGCGTAGTAGGTGTAACTCCCCTTCCTTTTCTCCTGGCCAGGGTTTTAAGCGCTCACGACTGGATCGAGTGGCGCGCTACCACAAGCACGGCCGCTTCCCTGTGGTGGTGTGGCAGCACATGGAGACCCGCGCCTTCCTGCTGCGAGGCGCCGCTTTCCAGGCCAAATCTATCCTCTCCGCTTTCAAGCACACTGTTGTCACTAACACTGTACCTGAGAGGCAATCAGTCACCACCGCCACCACCACAACTACCGTTGCCGCCACCGGTATGTCCACTTTTTAATCCATCTCTTACCCTCTCACATGACCTTTCGCCCTCATCACTTGCATAAATACCAAAAAATAGGGGTACAGTGAGTAATGCCTTCCCCACTCCCAATACTCTCACTTCTTCCTAGGTCTAAACTGTAGTTAACATGAAGATAAAAGTCTAATATTAATCAATCAACTGGTCATTACTTGAATAATTTGAGGTTATGGTAAAAATATTACATAGACTTTGGATTGGTCGTAATTTTGAAGCTCACCGATGCCAATAGGTAGACGCAGTTTATTTGAATCGCAGCCCTTGGTCGACAATTCACTTTGGTGGTAAGACATGTCATCATGGCATCAATGGCATTCTGTGAAATAAATGCCTATCTGAATGCAATGGCATATGTTCGTTAGGGCGGGGGGAGTGAGGGATGAAAGTGGTGATAGGGGTGACACATCATTGACCACACAGTATTGTCATTGGTGTATACGGAGGTCAACTCTTGGACTAGCAATGTAAGGCTTGTATTTCTTCACGTATCTACACTGGAGCAACTTTTTACCACTTCTCTTTTCTGCCCTGATATGCCAGGCCAGGCGCGTGATCGCCTACATAGTTTTCGCTGCGTTGTGACAACTACTGAATAAATCCTGTAGCAAAGTGGCTGAGTTGTCTCTGGGCCAATGTTCACCATCTTTCCATTATAGGATTAAAAGTGAAAAATTCCATCAATTTAATGGGTAAAGATCACACTTAGATCAGATCTAATCTAATGGAGCAAAATTTACTGATCCTTTTCCGTTATTCCATCACATACCTAATCAGCGTCATCATTGATTAACCTATAACGCCTTCATCTGTTTATGGGAGAACAGTGGCTTCGCAACGGACCGTGTGTTTGTGGATAATTTTGATTTTTGATCTCGAATTAGTGTTAACGCATTACTAAAGTAGCTGTAATAGATACATTGGCTTGAGTGAATTCGAACCGTGATCAGACAGCCATCTATGCTTGCATGCACTAATACTGTCGAGATTAGTGGTAATATGCTTGTGCATCTGTATGGTGCATTGTCTTGCAGATGTAGAGACGAGTACGGAAATTCCTTCGGCGAAGGAGCATGCGCGTTACTTTGCCTCACTGGTGAACATGTCTCCGATGCCCTCGTCGGCGTCGGGACTCATGTCTGCCTCAACAACGGCTTCCATAGCAGGCTCAGTGCTGGAGCGGGAGCCCCTCTCGCCACGCATCAACTCTATGATGCTTCTCGCCACCGAACCGCAGGGTGTCGCTACACCCTCTCCCTCACCACGTGGTGTCGGTGGGACGTTGGCCCATGAGAAGACAGGCTCGTTGCTTCGCGTCCCCCGTGCCAGTTCACGAGGTGTGTTAATCGGTCTAAGCTCCCATTGTACCTGCACACGTGAACTCTATTTCGTTTTAGGCAATTCTTGGGTGAGAAAAAGAGCGTCGCCCAAACGCGACTGTGTTGCATTTCTTATCTAAACATTTCCGTTGGTTAGAAATATTTTAAACGAGATAAGAATTCTACTACTCTTCAATTAAGCTGTAATTAGTGGCATGAATTTAATCATTTATCAGTAAATCGTTTTGTTCAACCCACAGTATTAGGCTTAAATATCACCATTTCAATTAAATAAGATTCAAACTCATAAAAAGCATTGATAAATAAGATGCTATTTCATATTCACATGCAGTGTAAATACTTTTACTCTAGTAATGTTCCCTTAATCTTGCATATGCCTTTTTACTTTTCAACCTATGAGATTCTAACTCGGATTCGCTATTTTTCTCTCCCTTTCACCTACCCCTTTTTGTGTCCATTAACCATTCATAATTAACCAAACATTTCCGTAATTTGTGAACTTTTATTTACATATTTACTCACTTTTTCGCAATCGTGCCCCTCATTCATTTTACTGCTCCTACATATGTCATCAATTGTGTACTTGATTCACCAATGAATAAACCCGATCACACGACTAACTTCCACCGGAAATAAAAAAAAACTTAACACGATTAATAGTGGCTGGTTCTGTAATATCACTGGATGCACCATTTGAGAAGCGTCTCTCACTTTTCACGACTCCTGAAGAGTTGAATGAGGTTACGACCCAAATGTTCCACAGCCCTTCGGTAGAGGTCGGTCTTGCCACCTCATCGGCGAGTGGTGTGCGCAGAGGTCACTACATTCCATGCCAATCTAGTAGACCCAAAAGACGCTTTCGTGCTGGAGGTAAAGCCGACAGCTCACTTATATGCAGATTTCCCATAATCTATCCATTGCTTCCCTTCCGATCGCGTCCGCTATGGCTGCGCTTATTGTTTTGTTGGTATTGTGTTCATGTGGCTGCGCGCTCTCCAGTTTCTGTGATAAATGTGTGTTAATAAAAGTCAATTCAATTTAAAGCCGACCCAGTAGTATGTGCATTCATTTGACGATCATGTTTACTGTGTGAGATCTCAGTCTAGTTCAGGAACGGGATTTGATCACACTTTGCTAGCTTGTTTGGAGCAGGGTCAAACAAACTTTTACAGCTTTGAAAAGTATGTGTGAAGCTATCTATGAAATCATAGGAACACATTAAATTGGCGTAATATGTATACCCATCGTAATATCATGTGTATGACGCGTCTTGAATCCATCCATCGAATTGTTTTTTTTTAATAGCTCAAACACCACGCGAGTTTGTGGTTGCACCGGTTCTGGGCAAATTATCTAGATCTGGCAACGTACTCTTCCCCCCATTCGTAATTGTTTGGAAGATTGCACAACTTTGTTGAACGAACTAAAACCATTTTTGCTCTTGCATTTTTTTCAGTTCGTCGAGGTAAGATATTTTATTTAAGTGATGTTTCACCTGCAAGTTTCCATATGCACGTTCGTTGCCACTATTGTTAACCACATAGCCCGAGTAACAAATTGTTTTCCTTTGGTGCACGTCATACTTGCAGCTGCACGTTTCTTCTTCGTAAATGCCGATTAAGACTTGGGCTTTTAATGGTCAGGTGATTACTTTGGTCATGTGATGGAACAGCCTGAGGTCTGGAGTCCAATCATTTGAAATAAACAGACTTTGGATGATTTTTCTTCAACCTCAAACAGCATGGTTACGGGGACTGGAACTGCACATTCATATAGCACGCATGGATATGCGCAAAGCCATTGTTTTTTGCCACTCGCAAGCTAACGCAATCATCGCCTCGTTTTTGCTCGCCCCAAATTAACCGCTTCCCGTTGTTGTGGTTGATTGAGAAGAAAGCACATTAGTTGGTGCAGCTTGGTTACTGTTTTCCGCCATATTAATTTGTAGCACTGGGCAAATTTGCTGGCGGGAAGGCGTCAACAACATCGTATGCATTCAGTCACGATGATGAGAAGGGTAGCGCTACTAGCTCTTCGACCCAACATCTTTATCCAGAATCTCGAATGCCAACAACTCTATATGTTCTCTGTGAGCGCTCCGTCAAGGTGAGGTTGAATGAGAGTTTTCGATCGCATTTGATTCCATTTTATCATGCTAAGCTATCCCATTGAATTTGATGATTCTGCTTTGTCTAAAAATTAAAAACAGATTCTTCCATTTTTTTGCCTTGGTCCGTTTGGAAACTATTCTGTTTTTGATGTACTGATCGTCAGAGGCCTCGTTCACTAACACTATGATTCATAAATTTTAAACCGGAGTGATTTTCACATATGATTGCACTTGAACCTAATGTCCTTATGCACAACTACTTCTGCACCCTTGCAGTCGGTTAAAACAGTGTGTATAATATGACTTGTCTTCAGGCAAAAGCTAATTGACAGATATGGATGCACACTCCCGTACATCATTGTAATCACCAATCTTTTGTAGACCATGATGAAATCAGGCCAATTTCCCGGCGTGGAGTTCATTTCCGTGGACTACGCCTCTTACTCCTCGATACGCGAGACCTTTCGTAAGCTCTACAACGCCTGTTTGCCGAAGGACGCACACTCGCGTCTTGTCGGCGTCTTCAAGGAACGCCGTCGCGGTGGTAGCATCGACGAGGGAGGCGGAGGTGGTGGTGGCCTTACCAGTGACCACGAGAACAATCTGGCCGCTGCGGTGCCCAGCGAGAAGGCGGTGGGAAGCGATGGTGGCTCGCGGGGTGTCCCGGGCGATATCATCACCGCTGTCGCGGAGTCGGGCTGGCTTGAGCAGATTCAGTCCCTCCTCCAACTTGCTGGCATCATGGTCGAGATTATAAGCATCCAAGGCGCCAGTGTTGCCGTCTGTCTCGAGGATGGTACCGATATTGTGACGCAGGTGAATGCTAGATGATTCGTTATGGTATTAACCGCTTCAGATGTTCATCTACCTGATTCCTCTACTTTCATAGTCGTTAATTGTCCACTTTGTATTGACATCTTGTTTTTATGCTAGGTCTGTGAACTCATCAAAATAGACGTTAGTTCAATCCCTCCTTTAGGGCATTGAAACTTGTCTGCGTGCTCGCGCAGAATGAGTTCATTGGGAAGAATGTTTTACAAAGATATTATTCTATTTAAATATCAATGGAAACCGTATAAAGTGAGAGCATCACTTTTTTGCTCTGTAGGAAAGAGTGAATAGGATGATGTGCCGTTATGTTTTTAATGTCGCTCAAAAAACTCCTTATCCAGTAAGCTGTCCGAGTTATAATTTTTCTTATAATGAAATACCCATAGATTATAAACATTTATATTCTCTGTATTTTGAATTTTGGGTTAGTTCTTTTCCCCTAAGCTGTTTTGGCGACAGATTGCTCTCTTCGTTGTGGGGGCAATTCGTGGTCATGGTGAATTGTATGCATTGTTGTAACATTTCTATGGGTTTTTGCAATTATGAGACAAAACTAGAATTATCGGTCTGATGGCGAATGCACCCAACTTAATTTTCGATTGCACTCACGGATATGGACCTTACTAGATACTCTATCAAATCGTAGTTCTGTAAAAGGATTCAATTGTAGCTTCCGTAGGAATTATTTTCACGATACTTTATGATGCAAATTAGATCGTTTAGAGGGGTTTAAGTGCTTTTTTAATCCATATCTATAGATGGTTTCGTTGGCTCAAGTGATGATGGATCCTACGTATCGAACTATTTCCGGTTTCTGGGCTCTAGTGGAGAAGGAATGGCTTCTTTTTGGTCATCCTTTTAACCAACGTGTGGGCCAAAAGTCTGGAAGCAACAATGGCAAGGCTTCGCACATCTCGCCTGTCTTTTTGCAATTCCTCGATGCAGTTCACCAACTGTTGCGACAGTTTCCTCTCTCCTTTGAGTTTAACGATTTCTTCCTCCAATTCCTTGCTTACCATCACGTCTCAAATCGCTTCCACGACTTCAAACACGACTTTGAGCTGCAGCGCATGGCGCATTGGCTGAATCTTACCCCCGACCACTCCTCGCTTAAGTCGGGTATCTACCAGACCCACTCTATTTGGCGCTTCGTTCAAGACCAACACGAGGAGTGGCCCGTCTTCTTTAATTTCTACTACTCTCCTGAGTGCGCTCAAAAGGTACGTTATAGCCCATCAATACGACTACCGTATACAGTGCCAGATTTGCGTAAACTGACACCCTTGTTTCCACACTCGCACATTAGAAGAATTTTTTCTAATCTCTGCACGAAGTTCCACCCAAAACGCTTCTCATCACGTCATAGTTTCTACCAGTCAACTATAGAGCATATACACACGTCTCCCTTCATTAGCTCGTAAGAGTAACACGGTCTCAAGTTTTACGGCTAGTTTGATACTCTTAAATTGTAATGGATACAACTAAGTTTGCTGAACTTTTTATCTTAGTCTCACATACTAGAAAGATAGTATACTCGCTTGTTCCACTCTTATGCTTTCTCTTGATTCATATTATTTATGCTAACTTTTGACAATGAAGACTTCGAAGCAAGATGCAATCTAATTGCAACGGTTGTCCATCAATGGTCGAGCGATGTGTTTGGTGATGCGTCTAATGAATCATCACAGTTCTCGATGTCAGAAGAGATAATCTATTGATCTACCTTTTTTCAAATTTCCAGACTTTGATACCGGCAACACATCAGGCTGCGTTGAATGTGTGGAAGTACTATCTCTCGGAAGACCTGGCCTCTGGACCTGTTTTCGACCTTGATCTCTTTTGCCCCAGCTACCGTAAGCAGACTAACCGACCCTATGAACCTGTTCTTCGTCAAGGTTACAACAATAGTCATGTGGTAGGTTGACACCCCATACTAATAGCTTTTTTGAATAAAAAGTTCCAGTAAGGTGTTCATAACTTCATAAGCCCCTGAGGCATAGTTGACTGGCACGTTCACTCCCATTTTTAAAGTAACCTCTTTTCTATACTGTTTGAAATCAGCTCATTAATGAAAATTGATGTGTGAGTGCATAGGAGCAGACATACGCTTTGTTGGGTCTACGCGAGGGCGATGAGGCAGTGGGATGGCAGGAAGCGTGGTCGAAGGCGGTGCGACTCTCAGCAGACACAGAGAATACTATTGACGAGCCGTTCTCCTCCTTTCCCGAACTACCTCTATCCGAGGAAGCGGGCGCAGACTTTGATCGCATCGTCCGTGCCAAACTCGCTGCCACCACTACTGATGACAGGCCAATTGTGCTCAATACCACCCTCAAACCTCCACCTCCATTACCGGAGTGCTCATTCAACTCTCTCCCAAAGCACACCATTTCCACTACCGCCGTTGGCTTTGAGATTTCGGGAGGGGGACGTAGCTGCATCAGCGACGGCGTCGCCTCTCTGCCCTCCGAGTCGGATGGCGAGGTACCGCTGGGGGGTGAAGAAGACGGTCACAGGGGCTATTCCCCGCCCGTGGATGAGTGTGACGAGGCACAGCGGGCCGTATTTGCACAAAATCGTGCTATCACAATGAAATGTTTAAACCGAGCATCCGGTAGGCCACTGAACAATTCACAGCTCTACCACAACCAGGCGTCAACCCTTGCGGTTCCCACTCCCACAGCTGATAATGTGGTTTTACTTCCTCACTCCCTTCACCACAGCGGATCACTGAACAATCTTCCGGTTGTCGAGGGTGGCTTCGGTAACCTCATAGCAACAGCCTTGTTCGAGCAAGTAAGTTCGTTAGCAGAAATTCAAATGAATGCTTGGATCCAACCTGTGTTTCCCCTGATTTCACCTGGCTTAAGCTATAAATGGTTTTATCGGGTTACTCATAAACGCAGGACTGATTAATTTTGTCTTCCTTTATGTAGCCACACAGTTTTCGACGAGTAAAGACAACCCTATCGGTGTCGCGTTGCGATGCCTGCCAAGCGTTGATTCTGGCCTCGGGCATCACACGAGGCCTGGTGCGCTGCGTGGACTGTAACTTCTGCTGCCACGAGAAGTGCGTACCCGGGGTGTCGCGCAACTGTCCTGGGCGGCTGCAAGCTGCGGCCCACCGCCACCCCGTTGGATCCACCGTAGAGGCCAGTGGTTTGCCCGGAACTGGTGTCATGCGGCCCTGGAACAGGCAACGGGCTAAAACTGAGGATTGCAACCTCCACCAGTCTACCACCGAACCCGAATCGCTCAATCTCAGCAACCCGCACTTTCGGTGCGTTCTGTCTTCTTCCCTCTCCCTTTTCCACGTCGCCACATGCGCCATTCCTGCAAAAGAAAAGTTTAGGGATACTCGGTATTTCTTATGTGTGATCAATCAATGCGCCATTGTTGCCAACGCCAACTAGTGTTGTAGTATGAGCATAACAGGTAGGTGCTTTCGAACTTACTAAACCTTTAGTTTTCGGTATCACTTGTTAAATGCGTATTCAACGATTCATAGGGCGTTGCATTCTCGATTAATTTTCTGTATGAACACGTTAAACCGGTAATCAGCATACCAATTTCGGTCTCGAAAATGAAATTCTGGGCAGTTTGCCTGGTTGAGTGTCGTATTTGTCTATCTCTTCTGATTTTTCTGTTTTGTATAAGTTAACTTCATTAAGGCGCTTTACAAGTGCCAATACAAGTTCTTGTTGTTGCGCTTGAAGAACAAAAGTTTGGTATGATCGAATCTGCGGCTTCATGAAGTTTCAACACTATCGACAGGCGATACCTTCAAGGTTGTTAATTTCTCAAATTTCATCCGCAAAATACCAAGGTAAACTCAGATTCTACCATAGTGAATCAAAATTATATGAACTGTTCCCACCTAATTTCAGCAGTTTTTAGCAGCCAATGCCACGTTTTAGCACCTTTGAAGTCAGCTTACAAGTAATATGATAATCTGGATTCGAGTGATAACTGTTCAAAAATTCGTGTAGTTTAGTAAATTATATATATGAGAAAACTGCCAAGCTCAAATAAAAAATTGCCTATGAAGAGTCGCTATGCTTCCCTGCCCTCTGGTTGCGTGTGTAAATGGCAATCTTTGTGCTGCAGCAAAAGCCATGATTAAATGTCGTGTGGCTCTTATCTCATAGTATCCATTCCCACGCGTACAACACGTTGTGATCCTTTTACCCTTTTCTACCTATCTTTGTAACCATAGAAGTCGATACACGACGAATGCCACGGGTTCCTCAGAAGTACCCTCGCTATACGAGGCGAATGGTAAGAACGCCGACTGCCCGCCAGGAAACCTTCCTGCGTTGGACAGCAACCCATCTCGAGAGATTCGGGGCCGCGCCCCCGCGCCACCGGATCTCGGCTCTGTGGCATTTTGTGGGGAGCTCTACAAGCTGAGCAGTCGCAAGGTGTTGGCCAGCTGGAAGTCACGTTTCTTTGTACTCGATACGGAACACCATCAGATGCGCTATTATGACACGGCACAGGACGAGGTACCCCGGGGCTTCATCGATCTGCAGGACGTGCGTGCTGTTACGCTGCTGCGCAACACCACCTCCGTGCCGAAACGCTTCCAAGATAGCTGCGCCTTCGAGGCAAGCGGAGTGGTTGCATGATGCTTGCACATCGATCTTCGTGCATGGCGATCCGCCAAAACTCATACTAATTACTCTTCCCTTAGATTGATACACCAGCACGACAGTTCAGATTTGCGGCTGATGATGCAAAATCTGCAAGAGCGTGGGTGGAGCGAATTCAAAGCACGATACTGTGAGAGAGAGAGTGTCCTCTTGGGGACCCATACTACTACCTGACGAATTTATTGCCTCCTGTACAGAACTCATGTAAATAAGCCACCTTGTTCAGTGCTTGAAAATTGCATTTCCCAAGCTTAGGATCACTTGAACAATTTATTTTTCCCCCCTCACACCTCCTTCGTCCCACATCCAATGGGCACCCCCAACGAGGCTGATTCAGTTCGAATGGCCTGGTGATAATGTGCTTCTTCCCCTCATCTTAGCTCCCGACCCCATCGATCCTAATTCCGTACCACTAAAAATTTGCCGGCCTTGCCCTTGAATTTTCTATGTATTTTAGTTCCGGGGTAAATTTCTAGTACAAAAAATCTACTGTTAGAGGGTAGATTACTAATTACATATGGCAATCCAAAACTGTACCAAGGCACCAAAGGGCAAACCTGGTATGAATATGAAGCAACAAGGATTGACAAAGGTGCAATGACATGTTAGGAGCGGCGCAGTTATATGTACATTTGGTCGAAGTTCTGTGGTACTGCCTTGCTGAATGCATGATCAGGGAGAATGAAAGATCGCAACCCCTCAATTGCTCCAAGAATGGGGGATATCACAGGGAAGATGTCACTTTTGGCAAGGGAGGCACGTAGATTTTCGTAGTAGATGATGAGGATACAAGCTGGAAGTGAATAGTAGATGCAATGCGCCATGATGGGGGCCGCAAATCCGGCGACAATGTTTGGCGGTTCGAGCGGCTTAATATCAGGATAGCACAAGCCAGAAGCTCGTGGGGTTTTAAGTTCGCGGATAAAGGGCGCAACAGGCTTGGAGTCACTCTGGAACTCAGAGGTTGGTGAATCAGTCAGGAGGTATATGCACGTATCCTGGTCTAGAGAAAATGACGACAGTAAAGCGTCGACCCACTTTCCAAAACCGTAACAGGAATCGCGCTCTTGGGTATCACACAACCAAATAACGGATGATTGATCAAATATAAACGCCGAGCAGGACATAACGACCTGGTTGGATATAGTGAGATCAATAGCCTTCACTTTTGTAGCTTTAGAAAAATCAATGTTGGCACCTAGGGCCTCGCATTGAGTAGAACCGATTCCGATTAATAAAGCATTAACTTTGTAGTTACAACTGGTATAAAATGTAACTACAACTTCCGCTTCAGTTAACAAGTCGGTCTCAAGGTCGGAAACGTCGTCACTTCCACCCAAAGCTCTTGTAAACGCCGGAACCTTCTTCGGAAATAAAGCAGCCATTTTCAGCGCACCCAAACAGACACAACACGTACTCCAATTCTGATGGCATCATCAGCATTATTTGCGGCTGTCAAACTGGCTAATAAAGCTTATGGTATGCAGTATTGTAGACTAAAATAGCAAGATTTTATTTATAGCCAAACCAAATTAAAGACCAGCCAAGTAAGTTCATGTTTAAGGCGGTTTAAGTTGTCATGGAAGCTCCCGAATCTGTATATAGATTCGATGACGGCCACATTTGCCACAGAAGACTCATTGATACATTTCGGGAGGGGCTAAATGATTTTTAACGTAAACTGAAACTGAGGCATTGATTTTATAAATCTTGATATTGAGGTAGCATATGGCACGATAAGGTAGAAATGCAGCTCTTTGAGGCTTCCCTGAAGGCGGTGGGAGACAACTGTAATACGATAGTGGTTTGCCCCTTGGTAGGGGTAAGGCTCCACTTTTGGACTGTTGAATTTGCCTTCTTGTACCTCGCTGGGTGGGCTGGCCTTCGGACCATTTCAGTAGCCTAGACAACTTCTCTGCGCTGAATATATATTCTGCCCGAGTATTTTGCCTTCTTTCGTCTTCAGGGAGTCTTGGGACGCTACATAATACTTGGGCAGGACATACATATTCAACACACGGAAGGAATAGGGGGTACTGGCATGGCCCGGATACCAGCTCACCCAGCGAAAGGACAACGGCCAATACACAAAGTTGACCTTCACAAAAATCGAGAGTTATATAAACTGCCTACATATCATACTGGCGATAATAGGTCATCTTTCAATATTTTTGTTGGCATATGCATATGGATAAAAAAGACCTAAAAAGCAATTATAGTGTAGCGTCTCGAGACTCCCTGAAGACGAAAGAAGACACAATACTGGTGCAGAATATATATATTTAGCACGGAGAAGGTGTCTGGGCTACTGGCATGGCCCAAAGGCCAGCCCACCCAGCGAGGTACAAGGGGGCTAGTCCAAAGCATAAAAGTGGCGCCTCACCAGAACCGAGGGATAAACCACTATCGTATTACAATAGTTTCAAATTTTAATAAAAAAGGTAAGTTGTCCGAAATGCTTTTCTTATTAAACAAAGGACAAATATATCAGGGCATTATTTGCATTCTATTTGATATTTCTGTGGGATCTTTGACTCCGAACCTAACAGTTCTGTGATAATTTTATGGTTCAATATTTAAAAATACATAAATTATACGGACATGTAACGATTTGACTCTCTTTTTATAATCAGTTAACGGCGTTGGCATTTTTGTCTTGACGGCATGGTCATCCGACCATGTCTATTAGCCCACAGCCCTTCTGCTCTTTAGAAGTAGATTTCCCAGAAGCGCATTTTTTACGATTTCAAAAAAGGCACGGGAAGTTACAGATATTTGCGTCAATGAAGAGCATTCAATGAAAGACTACCAAAGTGAAGAAGTGGCCAGCGTATTCCCACAAAAGCTAACTCGGTGCGTTCCATATGGTAAACTTATGAGCAAATATGCAGTAATAAAACAGATTGTTTACGAGGCGCGTGCCTTGTTTATCTCCTCTTCCTTGGATTTTGACATTTGGTGCCTAGTGCATGTGGGAGTGGACACCACCTCAGGGAGATTTGACTATGGGGCTCTCCCTAGGCTTGGCTGATGTTGAGCCCTCCTCAGTCACGGGGTTGGATTCAACCGCCTTCCATCTCTCTGAAAGGAATATTTGAAGAATACAAGTATTGCAATATACAACATTTAATACGTAAAACTTTAAAGGTGTTTGTAATTTTCACGCGAAGGCAGATAATAGTTTAAGAATTGCGATTCATTGAATTGGCCATAGAAGCAGACTATTTTTGTGGTCAATGTTCAGTGTTCAAAACAGAAAATGAAGAACGGGACTGAAAATCTATTACTGATTTTATTGGATTCACTAATGAAAGTTAAATTTGGATGCAAATGAAAAATTCATGCTTTCGTCATTGAATTTTGGGATATTTCCTACATAAAGTTTCACAATATTTGTCGGCATTTTTTCAGTAATTCTGGAAATGGATGAGTGAATGATTTATTATTTTAACATCAAACAATATCTGAATGTTTAGGTGGTAGCTTTAACTATCAATCCGCAGGAATACTGTAACACGGTAGTGGTTTATCCCTCGGCATTGGTGAGGCGCCACTCTTGTACTTCGAATTAGCCCCCTTGTACCTCGCTGGGTGGGCTGGCCTTTTGGGCCATGCCAATAGCCCAGACACCTTCTCCGTGCTGAATATATATATTCTGCCCGAGTATTGTGCCTTCTTTTGTCTTAAAGGAGTCACGGGACGCTACAATACATGTGCTAATCAAAAAGTAACAGTTCGTAAAATGCATTGTTTATTATTGGATTGATTGACCGTACAAGTTCAATAAAACTGTGGTACAAGTACTGAGTGTTTTGTTATTAAGGACTTTTTTGTACAGAAAAGTGATGCATTTTGTGGAATGCTAATTGAGATCGCAAAGACATTGCATTTGGAATGGAACAAATCACCAGTCTAACTTGAACTCCAATACGAAGTCAAAACACCCGTTTTTCCGAATCCCTCATTTCTTGATGCCAGAAACATCGTTTAAAAGCAGGAAATGCAAGTCGCTACGATGCTGAGCGAAATGAGAGTTGATGATCTTGTCAGAAATTCGTTCCCGCGGCAAATTTACGTTCACACTCCGTGCTACATATTACCCGGCAAATATACACTGATTATGTTCCAACAAAGTACAAGGCTAAAGTTCTAATACATTGTAATTACCGTGGTGCTTTAGAAAGTAAATAATGCAAGTTAAAGGAGCTAACATGAATTTAAACATTGTAGAAAGACCGTTATTTTCATCATTTTATTCAGAACAGGACTTTTGGACATTGGAGATGCGCAGTTAAATTTGCTTATTCACTACACAATATATAAGCTTCTGAAGTAATCCAGTAAGTACGAAAACTGCCAGAACTTGCGCACTTATGAAACGACTTTCTAACGTTACATGCGACATTGTTGCGGTAAAGTTTGCCTAAATTTAAGGTGTCGATTTTATATTTCCTGAATAGGTGGTTTTTCCTTAAAGACGCTTAAGGTTTGAATTTGGCGCTTTTGTTGAAACAAAGCCTAAAACTCATTGAATAAAATTATTGGCCATAACCTTGGCTGTGAATTTATTGGGGAGTCTACGCTGATGCTCTCGTTAGACATTAAAAAGAATTTAGTAAAGAGTGCTCCCATCAAGACCAGAGTAAAAACATCCAGAGGCCAATTGTTGCTTTGTTTATCATTGGTACAAAACTCTAGAATTATATTTTGGGAGATGGAAACACACTATTCTCACCAATTAAGCTCGGCATTTCATTGAGAGAATCAAACGCGGAAAAGAAGATTGGTACAAAACGTACAATTATTGAGCGTCTTGAAAATGAAGTTGTAAATTTAAAGGAGGTAGGTACTTGATCGACTGTTGAGGAACTGTACGCATATATTCCGTGCATGCTCCAACAACTGAAATATGGACAAAACCAGCTTAAACCTCATACCTGAAAGTATGAATTAATACAACAGGGAGACATAAAATATACTTGACCTTTTCTATATGGCCACATTTTAGACATAATTTTATTTTAAAACTGGGCGATATAAACGCTTCTGGTGTTTGCCATTAAAGTATATTCTGAGCATATAAGTATCAGTAAATTATTAAAAGTGAAGTTTTTCTTTCTAATCAATAATCACCATCTGCAGTAACTGGTGCCTCTCGATCGCATTACGACACCGAAGTGATGCAGCTCTGACGCAGTTGGGCGAACTGGCTAGCAGCGTGGCGTGCCATGTGAAGGGGCTGGCGGTGGTATTGCAGAACTAGCCACACCAGCGGCGTAAAAAGTGGGGTCGTTGGACAGAGAGTGAAGGTGGGGGATCGAATTATTCACTGGAGACAGACATGAGATCAAAGGCTATAGAGAACGTGTGAGTCGGCATGCATACACCATCTGCATAATGGCAGAGCTACTCTTGTGGGCGGCCAGGGAGGCCAGCGAGACTCCGGTCAAAATAAGTCGACGGCACACAGGCCACACCTCATCGTTCTCCTCCTTTTCTTGAGGCCCTGCTCCGACCTAAGCATTCATTAACAGCGCCTACCAGGGCTATCCCCACTTATTTATAGCTGGCTCTATTTTCAGTAGCGCTTTATCCCTAAGAACACCGTTTGCGCCCCTGTGTAACTACAGTTTCATGTCGTTGTTCTTCCATGATGCCCTCTAACATGTTTCCACCCACATCGAATTTGCATTGATAAATGTGAAGCTTATGGGGAGTATAAGTGTCTCCCACCATGGATGCATTAGGATTTCCAAAGAAATTGCAAATGTTCCACGTAGACACTTTGCGTTTAAGGTAACCATAGCATCATCTGGTAGAAATGTCAATGATATAAGTAATGTTTACTAAGTTCATTAGAAGAAACAAGTAAACGCTTATTTGTTATGATATTTTTAATTACTAAAGGAAAACTATTTATCATAGATGCGCCTCTTAGCAGGATTTGAGTTTGTAGTTTTTGTTTAGCATTAAACTGTCCCACTTACACAGTGTCTAGCCGCAAAAGCTACTGGTGTGATCAATCACAATAAATAATGGTGGCTCGACGGTACGTCTTTAGTTCTCATCATGATTCGAAGCTATTCTGTGGTCTTTACGTCCTACTTGCAGATAATGAACGTCGAATGGACCAGCAAGCACTGTCATGGGGTGATTGATTGTGCATAACTTTGCGAAATTGGTGTCTTTCCCAACAGAGACTACGAAATTACTGAACTGCATAATAATGCGACGCATCTACCGCGACAAGCACAAAGTGTAACACTGCTTAACATCTTTCCCTTCGAACCAAAGTATATGCAGCCACTTCCATTCGTATTATAAGTTCGTGCGAAACGCCAAACACATTTACGTTAAAATGAATTAAAAATTTTAATATGCAATCTAATTTGATAACTGAATCCGGCCTTGAGTCGTAGAGCTCTATATCCCCAAAAAACCCTTTTATGTTACTAAGTTTGAGTAGAGAAATTATTTCCACTAAAGCCGGGTCTAAGTTGTCGTGAGAGCTGAACCTCCATGGCGCATTTATCAATCAAACAGTAGGTTTGAAAGCAATTACAGTCATTAAAAGGATATTTTTTACAATGCTATCATGGCGCATATCGGCTATCCTGATATTTGGTTCATTAATAAGCGCAAGATCAAATGCTGTCAGCTGTACTGTACGCTTACTTGGGATCCCACTTATTTGGCTCGCTTGGACATTGGATATTGGTGAAAATAAACACAGAAGGTATTCTCATACTGCCTTCATTACAGACCAGTTTGTGGTCAATGCGTGGTAAACTCGACTACATTGTAACAAACATCGATTTGAAAGCGGAACCCGAAAGACGGCATTAACCAGCCCACACTATTTTTTTTACTTATTCAGGTACCTAACGAGTTGGTTTCGCTGGAAGAAGCCCACTATCATAGGATGCTTGACCTTTGAAGGCAAACAAAGAAGCTTCATGATCATTTGCAAGGGCGAACAATCCACCCACAACAGATGGGTGGAAAAATCGTTGATTCAGCTAGAGTGGAGAATGAAGGCGGTATCTCTCATCTGAATGCTGTGTATCAACAAACCTCTAAAACCATTGCTACGGAGGGTCTCAAGGCGCATTTTAGAAACCAAATTCCTTCAGTTTCAATATGAAAGACTGGGTGGAGTAAGCAAATTAGCATAAGTGGCCTTCTTTCTGTAGTGAACGGCTTGATGAGGTTGTGTACAGAAGTGTAACAAGAGCATTTTTGAGTCCATTTTTCTCATTGCTATTATAAATGCGCAAATGTCAAACAAACTTCACACAATATTAAATAAAGTTAACCAATTTCACAAAACTAAAAATGCCTCTGGTAGCACACCACTTTCTCGAAAACAGCGGACCACAGTTAACCCATTTAAACGTAACTTCTCAATGAAGATGTAATTGGTGGAACAAAGGATCAGCTTATTCTTCTCGAGGATAAATGTAACGGTGAATAGTAAAGTCAGGTACCTTGTTAATCTACTAATTTGTTCCGTCATTAGTGACAGTTTGATTAGTTGTTCTCCACCGGGTATTGGAGCAAGTGGAGCCTACATTACTTGATTTATGGAAAAGAACTAGAATGTGATTTTAAATTAATGATGGAGTATGGGAACTTATTCCTGTACTATGCATAAAAAGCGAAAAGGTGGTTATTCTCTCTCAAGGCAGATCAAAATGAAACGAGTAATCTAGGTAATCTAAAAAATAAGATTTCTGAAGGAAGCATTTTCGATAAGGACGAAAAAAGGGGAAATTTGAAACGTATTTGCAATAAAAGTTAACTCCTTTTATTGTAAGAGATTATTATCAGTGTAAGTCGTAAATGTTTACTCAAGTACAACCTATACTTTCCTTCATTCTACTGCGATCCCCTCTTCTTCATGCGTTTGCAAATAAATGGAGACATCAAACATTTCGTGTGTCTGCTTCGTGGGAGATGTTTGTGCTCAAAATAAAAAACAGTTTTTGTTCACAATGGAGGTGAATCAACAGTGAGCTATTTCAACTGCAGTAAAAGATGTCATCTGAAATAGACCCATATGTAGCCACCATAGCGTCGGGAGTTAAATTTATGGGAACGAGCATTCAGATCTGCTGAAGAATATAGTCACTTCCACCACTCACTCTTATTGTTTCGAGGCAGGGAGGCAGCCACGTACATACATGTAAGTGAGTAGCTCATAAGCAACGAGAGCGAACACATGACTTCCACTGTATTTTAGACTGGTAAAGTCATTCAAACTTTCTGCATTTTAGGAAGGTGAGCCTAGCTTTGAAGAGTGACACCGATGAAAATGAAAATAGCCAAAGGGATAAAACTCCGCATAATGGAGCAGGTCGGGTTTAATTTTACTTTGATTCTGTGATTGCTCACATTTCTTGTCAAACAATCCTACTGCACAAGAAAATGCCCGTATCCATAATCAGCCAGAGTTGATGAAAATTGTTCATGACAAATATTTCCAAAGAAAATTACATCAGGAAGAGAAACTTATTGTTTGTGAAGCTGAAGTTTATCACCCCCTACTTGAATTGCAAAAGTTGTGAAGGTATTGAGTTTCTGACCAATAGCTCCTAACTTCATTGACACCTCCTTTACATGAGACAAGGATGGGCATTTTGCGGTGACCATATCCGCTAGAGTTGTCGACGAAGGGATGAGCTAAAGCGGACGCAAAGCGCATTTCAGGCTATTGCCTAAGACACGCAATCACTTCGCAGGGCTAATTTGCTAAATCTTCATACGCTTAGTAAAGAACACCTCAAAATAAGTTTTCCCAAGATGATAGAAGTTTAAGGGTGGATAAAATGTCAACTTAAAATCGCAGCTGCTTAAAATTTAGTCGTCATCGGTAATGAACGTCCGAAGTACTTTCATTTTCATTACAGCAGAAAAAGATCAAATGAAAATGGAAGTAGAAACGCGCATTGAAGGATAAAAAAATTGCCTTGAAGATTGCCTCGAATCATCTTCTAGAAATGAATAGATGGATAACATGTTTCCTACACATTTTATTTCATTTTAAAGGAAGAGCACAGCGTTCCTAGTGCATCGAGTGCTCCAGGCGCGCAGCGAAGCTAAAACTAACGTCACTGTGACCCGAACATTTCTGAGTTCTAAAATCACATGCGCATTATGCAATGCTTGACGGATTTTCAGACAAAAGTAACTTGAAGATATCTTTACTAACATGTGGTGATTTGCTCATCTGCAATAACTTGACTTTGTTTACAAGAGGAGCATTAAAACTGGATGTTATGCGTTATGGTATATTCCACTGGAGAGATGGTCGGTCGCTTCACTAATGGCCTATTCTTTGAAGTAATTTTATTGTCCTGCGCGAAAACAAATCCCATATGCCACCTAATCGCGTCCGTGAAATAAATAGAATTTAAAGACTTATTTGCAACAAAAGCCTTCATCTGTGAAGGAGAAGCACTAGGATAGTTTCACAACCGCACACATAAAATTCTGCAATATCAATGAGCGATTTAATGTTAGGAAGTGGTGAATTTTCCACGGAGATAAGGAGAGCATAGAGTGGAAGGAACCAAAATCCCTTGACCTACATCATAAAGACCCCGGGAACGGAGGCATAATTGTGCCGATTAAATACGACTATTTGTTGAATACTACTGGGAGATTAGATATTTATATACCTTGATTGAAACACAACCACAATCCTCAAAACACTGTGAATAGTTAATTTTCCGGTTTATTGAAGGAACTTAAGTCGAACTTGTAATTCTCGAACATAGCTAGCAGATGACGCACTTGAGCAGTCTGCAAAGCGAACCCCTAGGGGCTTACACACTCGGTACTGATTTAGTAGCTCAGCCAGTAGGCATTTTACTTGTCATGCAAATGGGCTGGCTAACCCACAGTAGGAATTAGAAAGGCCTCATGCATCAACCCCATTGGTTGTCTCCATCTCTTTCTGAGTGGTGATCTCAACCAATCGGGTTAGTGACTGAAATGCAAGTTGGCACTAGAACAGGCTCATACACGACTAAGGCGATAAAAGCCCAAGCGGACGTGGTGCTGTACCTCCTTCCTCTCATTTGCGTCCAATAGCACTTAAACTAGCCGTCGAATAAAAGGCGTCTCTGTTTAAGGTAGTTTTTACGATGAACTTTTGTGAATTTCAACCTTCAATCGTTCGCTGACATCACGACGACCTCATTTAAATTATGGTCGTTGAAAAACTACCGGTAGGTGATATTCATTGTGGCTTGCATTGCCGCGAAATCCGATGATGTCTCTTACATTTTACACCGTTTTAATATACGAGTCGGTATTAGGAGATGGTACATAAGAATAACTTCTTTGTTTGAAATGAATTCGTTAAAAATATATGCCTTGAATTTTTTTGCATTCTAGAAAAATGCAACTGCAAGGTACTTTAATACAATAGCAGTAGCATCTGCTCATAGTGCTACTTTTTAGTTCTGTTTAAGTGAGCCAGAACTTGTCTATGCCTTAAATCTACCCATCGCAAAATGTGGATAAATTCATATGGGCAACACGGTTCCCAGTGATAAGATACATGAATTAAAAAAGGGAATTGAACAGAAACAGGAAATAGGGCTGGTGAGTGCTTCTTCGGTTCAATTAAAATGATTGAATGAAAGCTTGTGTCCCATGAATGCATTTGAACCTTCTTCTAAATGACCCAAGTCGTCAATAAGATTTGCCCATCAATAAAATGGACATGAATATTTAAGCAGGCTCTTTACAGATGAGCACGGTGATCGCTGATGCCGCGTCCCTTGCAACTTAACCTTATCCGCTTCTGGGGCTCAGACATGCCAAATCACGTATAACTGTCACAGTGATAGCAAATTTAGAATCGGTTTGTCTTTTCACTCAGGAAATATGTGCAGCTATCCATTGTCCTAGCTTCACTGCTAGTCGATTTAATGGAACTTGAACTTTTTTTAATGTTTTAATGCATTTCCTCTTAAGTCTTGCCTTCAGAGTTGAATCATGAGAACCAAAATGAATTCGCGAAAAATGACTTAAAAATCTAGATCACACGTTATGATGCGGGAACCGCAAGCGAGCACCGGAAATCAACCGAGTGATGCATAGATTTTCTTCCAAGTGGCTGTGTGCTTTGCTCGATTTAGAGTAATGTGCTTTTCCCTGAGCTTTCTTACTAACCATGATGCCTGTGAAGCGCCTAAGGATCATCAGAATGCATTATCAATAGCAGGTTAATTGAGCGAATGAATCTTACATGGTGTAACAACCACATGGAAGGACGTTCTCACAGCCAACGAAAAGTGGGAATTCACAGACCAATTGAAATACGCGAATTCAGCTAGACTGACATCTTGAATAATGTCTGAAAAATACAATATGATTTCAAGTTTTGATTTTTGTGTAAAACTCGCAATGCTGTGGGGAATCCGATGGTTTGCTTTCATGGAGGAAGTGTGTGATGAGGTAACAGCAGCTTTTAATTGACCCACCCTCGGATCCAGTGGAACTCCGCGGCTCGCAATCGACCAGGCCGGTGCAGGGTTCGCGCAAAGAAAAGTGCTGCTGTGCTCCTGGTTGCCGATTCCATTTGTTACTCCACCAGTGCTTGGTGCAAAAATTATGCAAAAAAGTTCATTCTGAGTGCAGAAAAATGCACTTTGAGGCAGTAGAGGCGGAGGTTATTGGAATGTGCTTCATGCAGTCATACTGCACAGCTCTCATTCTATGCCATCTGTTTATACATATTTCTGCACTAATAGCAAAAGCTTACGTTGTTTTGACCTGCATAGTTTTGAGTGATGTTTCTGGTGTCATACCTCCCAAGATGGGGAGACACTATTTGTCTCAAAGGGAAATACGCGAATGTATGTCACTTTCCACTTCTCCCACCACATTTCGTAATTAGTAGTTTAGCGAATGAAACGTTGCCCACCCTCCCAATCATATTACTTTGACAAATCAACTTTATTGTGTATTTGACGGATCGTGGTGGTGCTCGATCGGTCATTGGTGTTTTCGATTTCAGACTTCACACTAGCGCAATTTGATACAACACCTAAAGCAGCTCTGCAGCTTGCCTAAAATAGACATTTCCTAAAGCACTTATGGAGGGATACGTTTGTCCCAGTGATCGTCAGTTAGCCCTGCGTGCAAGGTACGTTTTTGGACTAAATTTGATGGTATTTTATAAGCATTGACATTTACTGCGGCAGATCCACCTAGTTACTGCCATGAATTAAATCCAAATGCTGGGAGTAAAGTTCTTGATGTTGCTGAATATAGCGACTTCTTCGGCGAGAATGATAAGGCGATGTGAGATTTATCTTGGTTCTGTGATTTATGGCACTTTTTATGGCATTCAGGTGCTCAATTCAAATCGATCGTCTCTTCATTCTGTAAAAATATGGAAAGTTAATGACTTTCTGATAAATTGACAGGGGGTTTTAGCCTTGATTTCTGCATGAAGTTATGTTAACTAGGACTCACATATGTTTACTATAGTAATGTGACTCACCTGAAACATTGCTTCATGAAGTTGGGAAAACCTGGTAGGAGGCCGAATAAGGTTGGATGCAAAAACATAAACAACTGAGAGGTATTTTCCGGTCTATCATGGACATAATAAACACTGTACCATTGAATAGCATAGACGTGATATTTTATAAGTAGGAAGAAAATAGGCACTACGTGTGACTGGAGTTCTAGAGTTTTTTAGATTGGGAACCGGATGGTCAACAGTTGCTCAAACAAATCAGAGGCGGACGAATACAAGGCTGTCCGACGAGGAATTGGACCACATTTATCGCGTACTTCAGCGCAATGAATCGATAAACGAAAGAGAAAGTAGACGTGTCGAGTTAGTGATCTTGAATGAAGTTTTTCTCACTAGCTTCAGACGCTGATAAAGTTATGAAAATTAGTATTGTCATGTCCATATCCATTGTATATCGTTCATTTTTTGAACTTTTTGATTCTGTGATGGTTGAATGGTGTGCGATAGTTTTCTTAGTTATAAAATGGATTAAATTTTTCAAAGTGAAACAAATTCCAACAGTGTCCATTTTTACTTGTCTACAAAAAACTTTATGTACGAAAATTTCCCTAGCAATTGTTATAGGGATTGCATTTATTGCATTTAAAAGTTGTGACACGGCTACGAACTACTCAATGTGGAGATCTTTTCTCTAGATCTGAATCGGCACATCGATTCATCTACTTAATATTTTCCATAATAGATGGCGTTGATTGATTTTATGTAAGGACTAATAGAATATTCAAACTGAGAAGAATGTACCTGTTGCCAAAACTTTACATGAATAAGCACATTTTTCCACAATTGTTTGCAACTGTTTTGGCTTCACTCTTAGGTCGATGTTGAAGCGGCTGGAAAATATGCAGGTGGCTACAACGCCGCAGAACAAAACGGCCTGCAGCATTTGTGGCCACGAATTTGGTCTTTTGCTCAAGTCTTCCACGCACTGTGCGGATTGCGGACGCCTTGTCTGCAATCGCTGTTCCATGGAGTTTACTGAAGAGCTTCCAGAGAAGCCGAGATTGGCCAGCGATGTTTCCAACGTTTCGCCCTCGAAGTACCTCCCGCCAGGATCGTTGGGGGTATCGGGGGGTCAACGGATGGGTTCACGAGTGCTGCGACGACTGTGGCGATCGCGGCAGCTGTCAGAGCGGAGGGATGACCCCAAGCAGGGCCTTGGCCCTCAGGACCGGTCGGCTTACAACGGGGCAGTTGGGGCTCACTCGAAATACAAGTCATTTTCACTCGAGCGACGCCAGTCGATGTCGCGATTGTCAAATTTCTTCTCGATTCCACTATCCCTCACTCCAAGTGCCTCACTCACACCCACAAGCAATCGGTTTCATCTCTGCAAACTATGCTGCGAGGCAAGAGAAGTAAGTGCACCATGTACTGTGTGGAAATTTTTGGTGCATTTAAAAGCAAGGCAGAGCTCAAGCTTATCGTTGGGTGTTCTTTCGATGTAGCTTTTGCCGTCGCTATTCAAGAGAGACTGATTTCTTAGTCTGAAATCTGGAAAATCAAAGGCTCAAGACAGCTTTCCGTCTGAAACAAGTTAACTGGAAGTAATTGACAAACGTCATCTGGTCTATTTTAACGAGGAAACAATTTTATTTAAGCATTTATTAAAGGAAAGGCGGATAAACAAACAAGAATATTTAAAACGATGGATAAAGTAATGTTTACAGAAAATAACATGCTGGTATCTACTTAACAGAACAAGTCCCAAAAATGTCGAACTGGAGTGATGCATTAGCCTAGGTTCCATCAATATTTTTCTCCACTAATCCCCAAAGCTGCATTCGGTTGAAAGAACTCAAGACAGTTTCCAACATCAGTATCGTCTCTTTTACTACAAACTTCGGACGCCCTAAAAGCAGTCCATGGTCTCTATTTATTATTTAGGATACAAATAAAACATGCGAAAAACCGTAGATGATAACAGTCATTTTTTGTATTTTTGGATCAAAAGATCAAAGCCGTTAATAGAATTCAGTTAAATAAATGGGTTTCCTACGCATCAAAGAATTATGAGCTGGACTCGATCTTTCACATTATGAAAAATATTTCGACAATCACAAACGGCGGTCACATTCGTTCTTTTACTAGCACATAGCATTGAAAAGCCTGAAATGCTCATGGTAGTACACAAAAAGATTCAAACATTACGTGCAATAGGTTTAGTTTTTGGGTTCACACTCCACAAAACAATTTTGGGCGGTACAATTCATTTCACGAATATAGTAGTTACCTTTGCTATATCAAAAACCATATCAATGCCACTCATAGAGTCGGCCATCAATGAATTGTTAGGATTAAAAACGAAATACGCGTTAATTACCAAAGTAACGCAGGTATACGAAAGAAAGCGGTAGGCCTTATCGCATTGCACAAAAGTGGTAGACTAGGACAAAAAAGTTTCAACTTGTGGGGCCACCGCGATATTGATAGTGGTTGAGATGTTTAAATAGAGCTCCTTAACGAGCCACATTCATTTAGGATGAAAACGGCATTTTCATAGTTGTGCTATCAGCCTACTGACTGGGGAGTAGCAAAACATTAATTTGTGTTGGCTGTTTCATGACCTCACTAGGACACTCAGGTCATAAGGCAATGAAAGACGTGCATGGGTAAACTGAACGAGATCTACGCAAGTCTTTTATGCATACATATGAATGTGTAGCATTCGAAAATGGTCGAGGTTTTGGCAATGTAATTATGAGCATACCAATTTTATTTAACCCTTCTCTCTCATCTCTGTGCTTTGGCTTTCAAAACTTATGGATAATGCAAGGTTCCAGCATTCTAGGAATTCCAAAGCTATTTTGGAATCCTTTCTAGTCTTTACGATAGTTGGAAAGAGTAAGCTTATGCTTTTAACCGGTTCTGTAAAATTATGGAAGTAGTGTTATGAGCACTCTATCTGCGTATAGTTCTGAATTGATGGAGTTTACACAAAAAGTTCCATAATATTAAGAAGTAAATATTTTTCTCGTTTGTGGTTACCATACACGAAATACAAGGGCCTGTCTACGTGTTCGGCATGACTTTTCATTAATTTTAAAATGAATGCAATCATTTTTACTGGTGATTGCAGTTTACATGAGCAGAAGGACAACTTCTATACAGCAAACTCATTCTGGGGAGGAGTTCATGCATTTAAAGGTTGCCAGGGCTCAGAATCCACAACACTTCGGTTGTAAGAGTGCAAACCGGATAACTAAGACGTGATGCTTTCTATTCCGCAAACCGATCGATCCAGATAAGCTCTTATTGGAAAAGTAGAAACAATCACTTTATTAATTTTTTTATCCAAAATATCAAATAAGATCGACACATTCATATAGAGGTGACGCGGGATCAGCTAATCAACCACTAAAGCCTTGCAAAATAGCAGTTTGTGGTGCATGCGAGCGGTCTGATAAATAGGATTTCTGTGAAATTATTCATCAAGAAAGCTATGTGTTTAATGTGTGTTTACCGTCTTTACTTTATGAAATATGATTAATCAGGACATATCTATGCATGAAATAGGATTCCAATTATTTGAACCGGATTAAAGGTTCATTACTTTATTGAAAATCACCGCCATGTTTCACTAACCAGAGCAAGAGCAGAAGAATTCAAAATCACACCCAGATTAAGTGAAAGAAAAGTATTATGTGTTGTGAATACAAATTTTTTGCTGTATCTATTTGCCCCTAGGTATGGAAGAAATCAGGTGCGTGGTTTCATAGAGGCCTGCCCAAATGTGGCCTCCATAGCAGTTGTCCCGCCAGTCCACTGATCTCGAAACCTATGACAACAGTGGACGGATGGACGAGTCTCCTTGCTCGCGGCCCTGCGGAGCTAATCCCCTCAACTGGTGGTGCTCAGGCCAGTGATGACGACTGGACACGCATCGAAAGTAGATCCTTGCTATGCTGCATTTCATTTCCTTAAGTGTACCACCAGATTATGCAAAAGGCTCTTTGTGCTATTTAAACTTATAACTCTCATGTTTGGGACAATCCTGATTTTCCACTAAAATTTTTTTCGGCTTGTATTATCGAAAGGAAAAGCGTTTTAATTAAAACAAAGCAATTTCGGAAGGCACCTTGCCAATACAAAATCTTTAAGAGTGACATCTTAGTTTTCCCACTACTTCGTCGTATGTCAACGTGAACTTTTTCCTTATACTTATTGGGAGCATAAATATTTTATCTGGAATGTGAGCCAACGCTAGCATATGGTGCACAACAACATTGTGCACAACACAACCTTCGAAACAGCCGGCAAGGATAAAGGAATAAACTCAGTGCTGACGGCTAAAGAATACATACATATAATTTCCAAGTCTAAAGCACATCGAATAAATTTTCTCTTGTTGTGCTGATTTCAGAAAGGCCTCCGGAGCCAGTACCAACGAGTGAAGGTGTTGGAAGTCACAGCAGTTTTACTAGTAAGTCAGGTATGTCTATGTTGTCAAAACATGGAATCAACAGAAACATGTGATGTTAAAAATGAGGCTGCCCGACTATAAAAAGTGTAGAAATCTTTTGATTTTGATTGCAATCAACATACCGGGGAAAAGTAGGAAAGCCCCCATAAATCAAAGTCACGGTGGTTTGCGTGTGTTTCTCAACCATTGAATACGCCGAGGTAAATAAAATTAAAGGAACATTTTGAAGTTTGCGATTTCAAAGCATTCTCTAAAGGTGGGTTGTTTCTTTAGTTTTGCCAAATAAGACACTGATATGCTAGCTTTCACCTACTTTAATCGAATACAGATCAGTGTATTATTTTGATTACCACGATGCTTAATAAATAAGTAGATAGACAGATAAAACACCGATATTTCGTTTGAAAGTAAAAATATTCACCATAACCCTTGGCATACAATTCAAAACATTTCTAATTAATTTAACAGACTTACTACCAAAGATCAAGTGATTTTTGGGAAAGCCATGGTGCTGCTTTCAGACCTGTTTGCGTAAGTGGCTTCGGAGAGCAAATTTGTATAGTTAACGCCCCCAAAACCCATCTTAGGTGCCTGCTCCATTCGTGTGGGGAAAGACTAATCGACTGGATGATCACTCATGAAAAGTAAGTAGGTAAAATATAGCGTCCGAAAGACGGTCATACACAATGAAGTCTAAGTAATCAGGATTTCATCGGAACTTGGTTTCTATGAGGTTAAGAATTCCACCATACCCTATATTCTGGTAAAATCCTGAACAAGTAGATGGATTGGAATTAGTGCAAGATGTACATAAAGACAAAATCAGAGATTCCAGTTGACTACGTTTTCACTGAGTCTAACGTTCAGGTCCATTGCGAAATGCAAGCACATATTATTTACATTCACTGGGTTGAATCTATCAGACAAAGTGCACTAGTTGAATTATTTAGCCAATGAATAGGCTAAAACTTGAATTAAGTGTAGCAGCAGCAAAAACTTAACATATTTGCAGTTTATAATGGATATTGAGGACGACAGAAGTTATACTTAAACTCACATCGTAAGTTATGTTAAGATACTGCAAATATACGATTGAACAGTTCCCAGTTACTCGCTTGAGGATGTCAAATCGTCGCTTGAGGAACCTAGCAACTCCTCTAGTGCAGTCATCACAAACTCGGGGAACAACGGAGGCATCGGCGCAGTCACTCATCCAGGAAGCCCTCACAACTTATTTGAATCTCCAACCTGGAAGCCATCAATGGAGCAGCAACAGCGGCAGCATCAGACCCTTTTGTTATCACCAACAAGCAAAACAGACCAAAAAACACCCAGTCAAATTCATGAGTCTCTATCAGGAAACAGTCTCAACTCAACTGAGCGATCACCCCAACGCGGAAGAGAATCAAAAGTACAGAGTCTTTTCCCTGAAACTCGGTTGGGTCTCGGCCTCAGCGATCCCAAGATTGCTCCATCCACGTTCACTCTGTCCCCAGAGCTGAAGTTCAACAAAGGTTCTCCATCTCGCAGAAAGTCTGCTATCCCTTTCTCAGAAGGTGATTATGTAATGCATAGGTCACTTATCCACTGCCGAGTGCTAGTGAATAGACTAAAATGCCAATGCCGATATTTACTGTCCTGTCTGACTATATATGCCTTTTTGTAATATCATATCTTTCATGCAAAGTTAAATTGAGCCTACTTCCCTACCTCTTTTGTGACGGAGAAAAATCTAACTGTCTCGCGCATTACGCTAGTAAGCACTGCTTAACTTTATATAGCTCCTCTGGGAATTCTTTACTTTTCTGTCACACACGATGTTACCAACTGCGAACTCCATGTCCGGATACACAATGCTAAGGTAAGTAGAAACCTCTCACCCTCTTGACTGAAATTTAGAAGTTAGTTGCTTTAAGATGGAAGTGGGCATTTAAATCTTACCTAATTTCTGCAATGCATTTTACAGGCAAGTATTACTCCGTGGAAAAAACACCACTGCAATATTACGCGTCATATCAATCTTTTTGTGTATTCAGGAACACTAATAGGCAAACACTTCCATTTGACAGAACGTAACTGATTTGGCTATTCGCATAGTTAAGCAAAATAAATTACATAAATCGGGTCTTATACTGACTATTTAGCACCTTATTGCGATGGATGCGAATGGACTTTCGGACCCGTTTGTGGTGTGTCAGTTACTGCCGACTGTTGGAAAACGATTTCGTACCCGAACGATTCCTCAAAGCCTCAATCCTGTTTGGGACGAAACATTTACTTTTGTTGACTTTGACAATCGAAAGCTTGAACAGAAAATTCTTAGGTCAGTTACAAATTTTATGACTAACTTCTATAAATTTCCATATTTTATACAACAGTACTTCACCTGGGAAATCTTGTGCACAGAATGAACTTTATTTTGTTTCTAGATAAGTTTGCATTTGATGCAAGCATATAGCCTTGTTCCACTTTAATACTAGATTTAACTCTATCAGTGAATGCGGTAGCTTTTCATTTGACTAATATTTTCCAATGTTTAAAGCAAGTCTTCTATGGGATGATTGAAAGTGGAATCTTTTACATTAATGCAAAATATGTATCATTTGAAGGAATATAAGGTATAAGGTACCATTTTATGCTAGCCCTGAATGCGGGAATTATTCCCAAGCCAACTGGTAAAGCGCATGCACAAAAATAGTTAATAGGGCGTTATCGGGGTCGAATAATGCCCTTATCATCGCCAGAATGCACATTCAAAACACAGCCGCAACTACATAAATTTAAACTCTAGTTGTATTTGTCCTAAGACCGATGTGCAGGGTCATGCAAGGAGCAATAATTGAGTTGTTTACAATAGCTTCTTTCTCCGAGCTTATTTAAAGTCTGCATGCGAGTATTCCAATTGCAGGAGGTTTTTTATATTTAACACTTTTAACCAATGAAGCGTATACATATCTATAGTTGTTGACGGTTAGGAAGACGACGTTTCAGTAGACAAGTTTACAGTTAACAAATCATTGGGTTGCTTTGGGCAAAGTATTGCATGGAGCTGAACACTAAAATGCATTTATACTCATTCAGGTTGGCCGTCTTGGATGCGGACACCTTCGGCGCAGACTGGCTAGGTGAGTATCGTCTCGGCCTTGGTGAATTGTTGCCGGATCGATTATCGGAGTTCGCTGTGCCTTTAAATCCTCGCAAGCCAGTAAGTATGGTGTCAGGTTTTGAAGCTACTTACGTTATCGCTTTTTTTTGCAAAAATGGAGTCCTGATTAAATTTCAAAGTGAATGGGATTAAAAGATGTCAGAAATAAGTCATACCCTAATTGAGACGTCTCACGGATTAACGTTAAGGGGAAATAGAGTGAAGGTAAATAATAAGAATGATTTACTACCTCACTAATGCAAAATCCACTTTTGTGTCGAACACAATTGTTCTGGCAAATTACTTAGCTTTCAAAGGAGATCGATGACTTGACCAACCCCACGCGAGGGAAAATACAAATTGCACTGCGGTTTATTGAGGAGACGAAGCAGCTTTGTGTAGAGATTCTACGATGTGCCGATCTGGCCCCAATGGATCGCAACGGACTCTCCGATCCCTTTGTAAAGCTGTACGCTTGCATTCATTCCCTTTTGCCCACGTTTTAATGGTAAATTGCTTTGGAACTGCTTTGGTAGCTCAATCAACTACGCGAAATAAAATATTATCATCACTGCAAGATCAGTACCAGTGTAGTACAATATGCAACAAGTTATTGACCGTAATCTCCTCTTTTTGATTTTAGACAAAGAGTGCCACTTAATAGTAATTACTCAATCCTACTTCACTGCTTATTGTCTGCAGATCATAATTTTCGGAAACTAATAATCGATAATAAGGTTGTTATTCTGTGTTAAAAAGTCTGCGCAAACGTGAAAATGAAGCCTATATTAAAGGACGCAGTCACAGGGCCCACATTTGCATGGTGCTTCCACTAACGTCATAGCATCCACCAGTAAACAAACGCATCGGCATTAATTATTTTCATTCCAGTAGATCTTCGCAGCTCGTATCTCGCGAACTTTCTGTTTTAGGTGTCTTCGACCTGACAAACTCCGTAAAACTAAACAAAAGACCAAGATCAAAAAATCAACTCTTTTCCCAGAATTCTACGAGGTACGTTTTAGTCATATTCTAGGTGCTCAAACTGGATAAGACTTATTTGTAGGGTACTCTACATTAAATAGGGAGGTAATGTTGTGTTTTATTGTAATATTTCGAATTCAGAAGCATGAGGAAGGAAGTTCAAAGTAATGGGACTTGGATATTTCCCGAGTGTTTGTTCATGTTAAATTGTTATACCAGTGTTTAACTAGTGTAGCCTTTTGGTAAATAAGGCCGTAATTGCAACTAATCTTAAGGAAAAAATGCTATTAACTTATGCTCCATGAAACATGAGTGGTCCTTTACTTTCCAAATCATTTGGAATGAGATTTGCTGTTAATAACATGGGGTTGTAAGGGGGTTGGAATCTGCTGTTTACCCTGTTCAACAAGTGGCTTTATCGAAGACGACGTCTTGGCGGGAACTAAGTGTCTAATAGATATCTGGCTTATAATCATTCAAAATAATGTATTTTTAATTGGATCTCCATCGGCTCTTATTCATAGAAGACTGAGACCACTGGGCCAAACCTCGAAACTGGATAGATTCTCTTTCACGACACATTTGATTCCGTAGATGATTCGTGTAGCCATGGGCTTTCTAGATTTTTGTTCATTTAGCTCTAATCCTCTTCCAAAAGAAATAATCCCATAAGCTTGGTTTTCTGATAATTTCATGTTGCTAGTTAAGACCGGCGGTAGTCTCAAGTTTCAATTCGAGGCGTCGGTCTAGATTTAGATGGTAAGTTCACATCAACGCCATGAAAACTTTCCGGTGTTGGGTACAGTGTTGGTTATTTTAGTCACAGACTCTTGCAATGGACTATATACACGGTATGAAAACATGTTGTCACATAGAATGTACAAAATGCATTTTTAGATTTTATTTGTGCTGAGCATGAGATGGTGCCGTGTTACACATTAACAATGCCTTTCTGAAAAATGCTTTTCATGGGATTTGACTGCAAGTAGATACCAAAGTCATTATCCCAGTAATATGGATGAAGTAGTTCAGTCAGTGTAAACAAACACCACTAGTGTGCGTGGGTATGCGTATCAGATGGAAGGGCACCGCAGCAAAACAATTACAACAATAGTCGGACTGGTAGGGGGAAGAAAGATGAATTTCCATGAGTGACTTGTACGTGTTGATCCTGTGAAATGGTTAGTCCAATGAAGATAATGGATTTAGGGTAAGCACATAGAAATCGCGCTAAATTTCGAATAAATATGTTGTTTTACTACACTTCACCATTATTTTTTAATTTTAATGCTTTCAGAAGGCGACTAAGGTATGGAGAGTGAAAAATAAGCTAATGATATTTTAAGGGACGCTGGTAATTAGCACTTGTTTGAGAACCTCATCTGACAGGAATGTACCATATTTGCACGTGAAAAAAATCATTGGATAAGACAATTTAGCAAGAATTTTGTCGATATGGATCATCGAAATGGTGACCGAGGTTTAAGTGCCATCAAAACAAATGGGATGGTAATAGATCTCACGTCCTAACGTAGATTTATCACTCCTATTTGATTGGCGCTGCTAAAACCTGCTTGGATGGTTTCACAAAGTGCTACATTTTAATTTATCACAGTGTATTGCTCTTAATATAATTAACCAGATTTTAAGAACAGAACTTTGACTCTTAATAATTTCGTAAAAAAGATTTGGTGCTTCTGCTTTGCTCAAATGAGTAACAATTCCAAGAAGTACTAATGATTTAAAATTTGTACACAGGAATTTTTCTTCGCCATGGCTGCCTTGGAGGTGAATAAGCGTACCCTGGAGATAACTGTATGGGATTTCGACCGAGGGATGAGAAACGACTTCATCGGTGGCCTGACGCTAGGCGCGAAGGCCAAGGCGGAGCGCCGCGAGGTCTGGCAGGCGGTGTTTCGCCCGCCCTACCGGCGCTTCGAGGCCTGGTTTCAGCTCGCCTCTCGCTCCGATACCGAGTATCCCGGCAGTGAACCCCAGGTTGCTGACGAGGGCACCATTGATCACTCTTCAGCTTCAGGCATTTGTGATTAGTCGGATTTACGTGATCCAACCTTGACTACCCCCTTATACAGGCACTTGTCCTTCTGGATAGACAAACGTGTGTGCACAGGGCCGCGTTCGTGCATGCATAAGCTCATCCAGGTATGCAGTGCCTGAGAGTGTTATTAACTTCCGTATCATTTTAATTCTTCCTTCACCACTTCTCTCTTCCCTGCTTCCTTCATTCCCTATTCTTTGGGGAGACACGGTACCTCTTCGTATAACTTTTCCTCCCCCTCTCTTTATATGCGACTCTTGTTAGGTGCAATAATTATCTTCCTTTTATTACCCTAATTATCCGCTGTTGATCACTATGTGTAGTGCTCAAGACTCGCTTTAACAGATAATGACGTTGGTGAGATTTTTCAATGAAGAGCCCAACAAACGCATCACACGGGATGATAAATTGAAAACAATAGCGTCATCTTATTGCCTCAAAATAAGTGCATGATCTAGACATAGTTTTGTACATCTTAAAATAGATACACGCTCACACAAACACACTGTGCGGAACGAAAAGTTAAAGCCAGAATCTTTAGTGTTATAGTCTCAAAATAATATTTATACTGTTGTGCGGTAAATTTGTCTTAATAAGTGACGTAATCCCCAGGTCCGTTTTATTGCCATTTTGGCACCAAATGGCTCATGATATCTAGGCAATATTTTGATTCTAAAACGGAAATTGTGGTAAGGCACACACTTGATCACTTGTGTTTTCACCTGATGGCCTTTGTAGCGAACGTAGTAGGGGATAATAAGTTAGTTTTACGCGTACATTTATCGGCGCCTCAGGAGACTGCTCTGTCATTCAGCTGTGGTGTCATCTTTTTATTAATGAAACTAGAATCGAAACTTCTTCAGTTTACACCGGCTGCTTTCATTTTAAGTGCACTATGAGTCCTGTGCTAAACTTCAAAACTTGGCAACAAAGGACTCCACTGCAGTTACTGACGCCAGATACCGCATGCCTTCTTATCTTTTCGGATGATGCCATCTCGAATACTAGGCTACTTTCATAAATTTCCAAAATTCAAATTCTCACCATTTTTACGCACCTACTCATTTTACACTGGTTGAATAATGTATAAATGCACTGGAGATCAAGGCTTGTCCGCATATGTCGACACAATAACCCATAACTGCAGTCAACTGGAATATAAACTCTCTCGTCGAAGTGTCTAGGTTCTAAATCCGACAATACTTTACTCCCAGACATTGGATCACTCTTGCATTCCTGTGCCATTTCGTTTTCCATGAAATAGAGGTGACTGTTCAGTAGTGTTACGGGCTCGAGTTTATAATGCGAGGCCGCGAAAAAACTGACAGGCGGGTAAAAGTTATCCGGAGAGTGGAAATGGGATCGTGTATGTCAAAGTGCGTAAAGGTGTTCCAGGGTCATTCGGTTTGGATATTGATGAACCTCAAAGTAAAGCATAGCAGCTGTTTCATTTACAGTATTTTTTCGTATGAATGGTGAATATTGAGTAGTGATTGTCCCACCTAGTTAAATAAATGAACCGCAAATAATAGGTACACACAGATGAGGGGTAATATCCAGGTTTAAAATAAAGTAGCTTTCAAGCACCACGAAGATGCGACCGTTTGATTTTGGGGACATCACTGAAGTAAAAACTGTTGACACTTTTCTTAGTGTTACGACAGTTCGAATGTTAACTATAGCTAAGTTTTACTTGGAAACCAAGGACCTCATTTACAGGCCTGAATTGCTCATCGAGGTTGATTTCTACAAAGGCATCACGCTCTTTAATTTGACTGAATTCGTGATATTTCCATTGGGAGGAAAATTGGAAAATTTTCATTTGAATTTACACACTTTTTATAGTGTTTCAAAGAGAAAATTCTCGTGATTCAAATCACCAACTGCAACACTTGGGATTGCATAGTTAAATAGTTAAAATGAAATAAATTATGGATTTTTCGCGAAAAATACGATAGAAGGTTTTGGGTTTTAAAACTAGCAGAAGCCATCCTGGAATCTGCGCACTTATCTCGGATTCGACATCTGAATCAACAAATATGAAATCAGACAAATAAACGGCATGAATTAATTAGACGGATTCTAAGTATTCGGACAATAAGCAACTTGTGTTTTTCTGTTAAGTAATGGATTATGACTATCTTAACTGTTTTGCAAGACTTAGTTGAGTTGCAAAATAACAATAGGGGATGGATATTCGTTTCAAAACTAGTTAAGCATCTATTTCAACAATAGGGTGACTTGTAAAAGGAATCTAGCTTCAAATAAATTACATACACCAAGATTCACTATCCGTTTCCGTGTAAAATCCGAAATGTTAATTAAAAACCAAAAAACGCAAAAATGTGAGGGATAGTGACAAAAATGTAGGACAAAGTCATTCCCGCATAACATGAACTGATGGGTAGAAAGGGATGTCACCTTGCGTTCACGTACTTCTGAGACCACTAAGCAAAAAAACATGCAGGGTAGTTAATTTTTTGTTAAGCTACAAAACACAATGATTGAACGTTATCCTAGTTGCACATTTGTATCACAGGGGAGAATCACTAGCCTTCACCATCCATTAATCGCAGGTGTAAAAGATAAGTCCCTATATTGGATGAGATCTCTAGATGAGGTCGGACTTCACGATGGTATCGTTGAAGGTCTGCGGGTCAGCTGCGATCATCCCAAATCTGTATAAATAAACAAACGCACCCAGTCAGAAGTTAATTCACCCAAGTGTAAGCATTCCCTAAATTATAGCAGGAATTCTAGTAAAACAAGCGAGGTCGTAAATTTGCATAGTGGAAACTCGGATTTTGACCCGGTTGTCAACTTCAAGTAAAAACTGTTCCTGTTGGCATAGTTGGAAACATAATCACGACACGTTAATCAAACAGTGTGCAAAATATTAAGTGGCATGTACATGTCCGATGCAAAGCCTAATTTTTTCATTAAAAGCTTAATCTTCCAAGTGGAAAAATACGTTTAAACTATCTGTAGGTAACTTCTAACGCGTTTTAAAAGTAAATAGAATAAATTGAATGAATGCATTTTTAGGTAGGATATCACAAAGGAAAACCATTTTTTACCTCACCAAGTCACCCACACAAATTAGCTGGATATATCGGTCTTGGAAAGTTGAATTTAGATGTACCTCATATGAATAAATTTTGTGAAGTGAAATACGCTGAAACATTTAACACAAATTATGCACATTGCGTTGAATTCAGCATAACTGCTCAAATGCTCAACCGACTTGGCGAACCAAGGTGCAATGCGAGAGGAATGCACATATTAATACAAATTGCCATATGCAGTGCTATTACGGATCGCTAATGTAAGATATTCTTGCTTACTGTATTATCACTTTATCAATTGTGAAAATATGTTAAATGTTTAACATTTCAAGACTGACATTAACCATCCGGCCCTTTTAAAAACGAGTCGACCTGGGTCTTTGATTTCTCTTTGGAACTTTTATTGTACAAATACTGGTATGCCTTGAACAATTTTTTTGGTGCGAGTGTGCAATTATCTATCCTGAATCGTAAGGTGACAATACTGTTTTGGAGTTTACCAATAAATGATCCTATTTGGAAAGGTGACGGAAATCCCTCTCAAACAAATTCACATACAAATACGTAAAATACCAAAACCTCAGGATTACTTAAAAATGTGAAAGACATAGTTGCTGTGATACTGTTCTAATGAGCATAAGAATGGAATTCCTGCTTATTAAACACCGAAATAGTAATTGATTGCAACATTTCTTTTTAGCGAAATAGCGTGGTTGCTATGCAAGGAAATTGCCTTGAAGTCAAGCCCTCTGATTGCACTACTCATTAACTTTAAGCAACCACTCATAAAGATTAATCAGTTGAAGAAAGTTGAAGCACCAGCCCCATCTTGCTGGTGTTCATCAAGAAGTTGGTAACGTTGTATTGTTAGATGTGTAATATGATTTGGAATTAAATTCACTTGTTTGGACTGCAATCGATCTGTTCTTCTCATGCCTCAAAATCTCTGCCCTGTAAAATGAAGTAATGTCGTGTAAGTGACAAATGTTTTCTTTGTTAAATACAATTATAAAGGAGTTCTTACAGTTCATTGGGTACTTTCAAGTCACAATCTGTTATTATATAGATTATTACTATTTAGAAAAGGCTTATAAAAACAAACTTTTTGCATTGCTGTGCTTCCAGATTTAAGTATCATCAAGATGAGACGCGTAGGGAGATATATGTTGTATTGGCGCTCACCATTGTGCCATGACTGCAAGATATGCTCTCCTCCGAGTTTTCACTAAACTGGGATTTGTCATCAGACGATCGATCTTAGGGGGCCGTCGTAAAAGCTACGTGATGGCCATCCCAACTGATAGCCCCGACGCCAGCGGTATTGGTAGAATGAAAGAGGGCGCGGTCTCCGAAGGGCGATTCAAACTGCTGCAGAGTATCCTCTGACTTCCATCTCATGGTATTGGAGAAGAAACTCGATTGATAGGCGGAGGAGGACGCTGCGGATGGGGCGCGTTGAAAGTTCTCCTGTAGGTCGTAAGTCGGACGGTAGCTGCGAGCCTGACGACACTTCTTTCGCTGCCTTTCTTCTCCTTCCTCGTAGCGCTGGGCAAGTGTCAATGGGACGCGTCTGAGCCCACTCTGATGGACCAAGGTCTGAGGTAACTTGCTGCGCTTTTTTTGGAGAAAGTCGACCTCGGTTAATCCATACTCAGAGGGAGAAAATGGAAATAATACCAATTAATTTATTTAAATTAAAACTTTTACGTCATTCTGAAGTTAGACTCAAAATCAGTTTTATTTAGACTACCGCATAGACTGAGTCCATACCACCACAGTAGTACATCATACGCATTCGACAAAAGAAACTCCTTAAAGTGATAAAGAGTTGGTCAAGTGGTTGAATAACCTTCTAACCTTCGCAAAATTATTTGGAAATCACTGGAAAAACCAAGCCAAAGGATCAGTAATTGTGTGATTCACCTCTT